GGTACAGCTAGCTGTCTAAGCGTATAAAAAAGATCTAAAACTTAGTATTTAAGCTATAGTAAAGATATATAACGTTAGTTATAATTTAGTAACGTATTAATTAAAGGGTACACTATTATAACATAATATTATACCTAACTTATAGAATTTAATAGAACTTAAAGAGAGAAAGCTAGTTAAGTTTATTCTTAACCTAGATTCCTAATTATTTCCTTTCTACCTTAGTAGTGTTAAAGAAATAGCTAATTAACTGCTTACTAACTGTAACGTGCCTCTAGTTAGTAAGCGCTAGGCCTTAAACTTTATTAAATAAACACTAGAGCTTTAAACGCGTTTTTTTTATAAGTATAACTATAAGAGGGCTTAATATAAAGATCTAGACGTAATAAATATATAGTTTTACCTTATAGTAAATATAATTATAAAATATAGTATTATAAAGTCTAATATCTATAACTTTAATAAGACTAGCTTTATAATAGGCTAGATTATATCTAGAATAGTTATTATAAGCTTTAAAAGATATTTAAATATAAAAATAGTGTAGCCTAGAAATTAAGAATAGGTTATAGTTATTTAAGCTATTAGTTTATCTAGTTATAGCGTCCTGCTATATATTATTATTAGAGGTAAAAATCTCCTCTTTACTTAGTATATAAAATCTAGTCTCTTACCTAACTAGGTTATTATAATATCTAAAAATAAATAGATAATAAATAAAAAAAGCCTAGATTAGCTTTAGTACTTTAATTAATATTTAAAGTTATATATAAAAAGAAAATATTACCTTCTTATTATTAATAGGCATAAAAGTTACTATTTTATAGACTTTAAGCTATATTATAAAAAAAAAATATTATTACTTTTTATATACTACCTTATTTATTTTATTTACTTTAGCCTTTAGATATTAGGTGTTTTAGGCCTTTAAAGCTAGTATATAGTTAAGAAATTAAGGATAAGATATAATAAGGTAATACCTATATTATAAAGGATAACTTCTTTTTAGTATTTTATAATACCTTTAAGTAAGCTTTTATAAAAGTAAATATTTAAGGAGGCTTTAGAGGGGTAGGGCTTATCCCTCTAAGTCTAGAAAGTGTGCTATTAAAGCTAGATATTAAGTTACACACTCTAACACCTTTAGGATCCCTTCTAATAACACTACTAGCTTAGACTTCCTAGACACTATATAACGTAATAAAGATATCTTCTTAAGGAACTCTTATTAAGGATTACTTTATTAATTATCTAGATAGCTCCCTAATATATAGATTAATAGCTACTAAGTATATTCTTAAAGAAGCGTTAGGAATTATATATAAAAATACTTTATTAAAGGCTAAGGTTAAAACCCTTTATAAGGAGAATAACCTACTTAACTAATATAGAAAGGTAAAAAAAACTTATCTAAAGTAAGGAGGGAGTCTTAGTGTAGCTAATACATAGGATATTTAGTTATAGAGAGAGGTAATAACCTAGATTAAGGAGGAAACGTGTTAAAGTAGTAGTTATAGATTAAGGATAAAAATAGGTAAATAGTAGTATAGCACCTATAGGAACGCTAGATATAATATATAAATATACTAGTTTAATAAAGAAATATCTAAAGAATAGGATTCTAAGTAGTTTAAATTAATTTTATTATTTTATAGTTACTTCTTAGTTATATTTATAAGGTAGCTATAATTAGGTAGTGCGCTTACTTATCTAGCGCGCTTACTTATTATATATATTATAGTAAAAATATTAATAATTTCTAATATAAGATTAAATAATTCCTCTTAAATATCCTTAGTTTCCTTATAACAGACTATTATATATAAGGAGTTAAAAAGGAATAGTATATCTTAGTAATTACTTAGGATAGTAAGAGAATACTATAAGAAAATATTAGTAATTAGTTAATTAATTACTTATTAACACTTATAGGAGTATAACTAGTGCTACGTTAGTTACACTAGACGTAATAAAAGAAACTATCTAAAGTAAAGATATACTTTATAATTAGAAAGAAGTTAGTAGGGGTTCTACCCTCTTTATAGGTCTTTATTATAGTATAGAAGTAATATATATAAGGCTAGTTAGTAGTATAAGGGCGCTTAGGAAGTAGATTAGGGATTTATATAGGTTTCTTAGGCTTATTACTAAGGTCTTAAGGACTATTCTTAAGGCTATCCTTATTACGCTTAGGATTAAGGCTAAGAGGATTATTATAATTAGGGGAATATATAAGACTCTTATTATCCTTATTACTAAGAGGTAGAGGAGGTAAAAGTATAACGTTATAATTAGAAAGTTCCTTATTAAAGCCTAGACTATTATTATTTTAGTTATTATTATAATTATTCTTTTTACTATCTAATAATAAACTATTTTAGAAATAAAGTGTTAATAAACCTAAAACCCTCTTAAAAGGCTACCTAAAAAATAAACTTATAGAGGTAGTAAAAGATTAACCTCTAGTATAGTATATAGTATAATAATAGTATTAAGCTAAGGCTTTAACTATTTATTATATAGTATAATCTTAATAGTATTAAGAGTTTTATATTACCTAATAAAGGTTAAATTAGTAGCTTATTATTATAAAGTAAAGTAAAGTAAAGTAAAATATTAAAGTAACTTAAAATAAAATTAGAATATAAAAAATAATAGCTAACTAAGGTGTTATAGGTAAAAAATTATTAAATTAAGATAGTTATAAAGGTAAAAGATATAAAAATACCTAGTAATAATAATATAAATAAACTAAATTAGAAAAAAAAGTAAAAAAAAAAAACTTAGACCTTAGTAAGTAACTAAGGTTTAAGTGTATACAGACTAAGGCTAGGATTCCCTAGGGACTAGGCCTATATTAGCCTAAGAAACGCTATAAAAAGGATCTAGAAACCCTACTTACTTAACTTAAAACGCTACATAAGGACAAGTGGCTTAGGAGGGGGCGTAATTATTATAGGACAATAACTACTTAACTAAAGGGCGCTACCTAAAACCTAGTGGTAACAGCTGCCTAACTATCTTAAGGTTAGTATAGTGTTTTAGGGAGTGGGGCGTATTTAGCTAGTAATAGCCTTATAAATTACAGGAGAATAGTTCTCTAAGATTTAGCTTCTATGTAATACAAGACCTATAATTACTAATACTTCTTTATGATTTTAATAGTCTATTATATAGTTAGTGTCACAGGATAATATGGCCGACCTTGGACCCACTTGACGGCCTTGCCGGTGGATCTATCGGTCGGACCGTATATCCCGCCGACCGGTGGGCCCAGCGGGTGCCCCACTTGTCCCCACCTGTTAGCAGGCTATAAGACAGCCGCTGCCAACCGTAGCCTAGCTCCTAGATAGTTAACTAATCTATTACCTATCTGACTGTGTTAGTTAGGCTCTTTAGATTAATATATATAGCCTTCTAGCTTTATTAAAGAAAGTACTTCTTTATATTAAACTTTTACAAGATTATTTATATTATATCTAAATAAGATATATATAGTATTATTAAAAAGAAAAATAAAGTTCTACTAAACTTCTTAGAGAACACTATATATATATAAGTAGTAATAAAAACCCTATTTATTTTTATCTTATTATATAAAGTAAGCTAAAGATAGATACTAATTAGAATTAATAAGAAAATCTTTATAAGCTTTTATATTTATTAAATACTTAATTTATATTAATAAGAACTCTCTTAGGTAGCTTTTAAGAAGTTTCTAGCCTTAAGGATAAATAAAGCTTTATTCTTAATAATTATTAAAGGCTTATAAGGCTATATATAAAAAAATACTTTATTAAGAGAGGTTTTAAAGTTATTAATAGCTATAAGGTTAATTACCTTTAGTTTATTAATATTAAAAAGATCTTAAGAATAAAATATATAAGTTACCTACTTATAAACTAACTTAACTAAAAGTAGTTAAGTTAGCTATTATTAAGGTACTTATATAATATTTACTAATAAATTAGTATAGATAGTAAAAAGCACTATAAGCCTATATAATTAATTATAGAATTTAATAAAACTAAGCACTTATATATTAGCCCTTACTTATTATACTTATTTAGTTATATAAAGTAAAATATGCTTTTACTAAATTTACTAATCTAATATAAGGGTAGGTGTATAAGCAAAAAGTGGATTTTTGCCTTATCTACTTTTGAAAAGACGGAGTGAGCCTTGCAGGCTGCCGTAACCTACCTAACCAATGAACAAGCAGCAATCAACCACAAAAGTCCAACCAAAACCCAAAATCATCACATAAAGAATCATTCACCAGTCTCAAAAACAAAGCAAGTTACACGGCCTCCCCCTTGCACAAGGCTGTCAATAACTCAATATACCTGCCAAGAAACACATTGGCATCACCCTCCCCATACACGCTGCTTTGCAATTTAACGGTAACAAGAGGATCCTTGGTAGGATCATCACTCATCTCCAACACAACGTCATACGGCGTACATTCGCGGCTTGCCAGCACCTCAACGATGCTCGCACCCCCGATGGTGCCGGACTCTGTGGCCCCCTGGCGGTAATCGAAGACGGCCTGGAAGAGTGGCGCGTGCGTCATCTCCTGCGGCGAGACGTTATCGAGCCCCAGACGAGAGGAGATCAAGTCGTGTGGGACGACGGAGTGTGACAAGGCCTGCCGCACCGCCTCCTTGGCGGATTCGATTGTGGCCGTGAAGGTGCCGGAGGAGGTGAGGCGCAAGGGCAGCAGGTTTGCAAAGTACCCCATGGTGGACAGGTCAGCCACAGACGAGCGGTTAGTGTCTGCCAAACCAATGGACACCTGCTCCTGCTTGGAAAGGTCTGAAAGAAGCGCAGCGTACGCAGCAAGATAGAAGGTCATGGGCGTAGTGCGGAGTTTCTTTGTACGCTCTTTGAGCCTAAAGGCAAGCACAGCAGACAAGCGGGACATGGCCGTGTGCTGGTCCCAGCTCACAGGTCCACGGGCGCTCTTCGCGCCGGGGAGGGGGAGAAGGGGAAGCGGGGCGGGGACAGGTGTGTAGAGACCGGTCCAGTACGCGATAGACGCGTCCATACCCCCCGAGGAAAGGAGGTTGCGTTGCTTGACCGCGAAGTCGGTGTACTGCGGTGCAGGAGGTAGGACAGCGTCGGTGTAGAGCTGCGAGAGCTCTGCGACGAGGTTTTCGGTAGTGGAGCCGTCGCCAGCCAGGCGGTGGTAGGCGAGCACAAGGAGGTGGGATGTGGGCGACCAGGTGAAGAGGGCGGTCTTGAAGGTTTCGCCGCTCTCCAGATCGTAGGGCTCCTTCTGCAGCTTGGCCAGCTCGGCCTCTGCCTCGTCGCGTGATGCTACGGAGACGGCGTGCAGGCCCCAGGTCGGGGCAGAGAGGACGTGCAGCAGCGGTGTAGGGGACGACTCCGAGGGCCGGAAGGCCGTGCGGAAGGTATCGTGACGTGTGGCGGCTGCTGTTACGGCCTGGGCGAGCTTTTCGGTGCTTAGACTGCCTTCCATGATCACTCCGATGGTGTTGTGAGAAATTGTAACATCCGGGAGAGAGGCCTGCCGCGTGAAGGAGTATTCCTGGGTCAGCGACATGGGGGCCTTTCTGACCACGCCCTCGAAGGGGACTCCGGCTTCGTCGGGGGTGGACAGCAGGGTTGAGGCGCCGTCGTCAAAGGATGACACGGTGGAAGAGTCATGTGAGCCTGCTGCGGCAACTTGTGCGTCGGCGACAAGAGGGATGGCGGCGGGGGGCAGGCGGGAGGCGCCTTCTGCTGCTAGGTCATCTATGGACGCGCCTGATAGGACGCGCAGGATAGGGATGTCAACAAGGAGTTGTTTCGAGAACCTGTGGTTGCGAAGCTTGTTAGGTGGACAAGTTTATGGCTCGGAGTCGGCGGGAGTAATGCGTACCATGAGGCGACGGTGATGGCACCGAGCGAGTCGATGCCCTGGTCCAGGAGAGGAGCAGCCGCGTTGACGCTCTCTTCCGGCGGGATGTGAAGCACGCCTCGCATCTTGTCGGAAAGACCCTCTGTTGTATTATCATGACAAAATCAGCTCCAACCAACCATATGCCAAACCGTAATAAGCAAAACTCACCAATAATAGCCGCCCGAACCTGCTCCATTGTCGTCGCCATTGCCAGCATCTCCTTAACACTCATCTTGCCGTCGCCCGCAGCAGCGGCATCGCTCCTGTTTTCCGGCGTCTTCAGGTTCCCGAATCTCGGATCATGGTAGAACTTGATAGTCTCCTTGTGCCGCGACTCCAGGGCGGGAATGCCGCTGCCAATCTCCGTCTCTGACATGTCGATGACCCTCTTGGCGTATACGCTGTCGACGCCGTTGACCCGGCGGCCGGATACAACTGCCTCGGCGAACAGAGTCAGGAACTCGGCTTCGCCAAGCGTGTCGACGTCGGATTTCTCTTGAAATTCCGCTTCGCGACTGTTGCGGGTTAGATAGCCGATGCCCATCACGGCGCCGATGTGGATCGTGGAGGCCTGGTTTTGTCAGCTTGTCAGATTGCAGAATTTCCAAAACATCATCTTCAAATGAGAAAAAGATAACACCTACAGCGAGACCCTTGCTGCGTCTGTATTGCCCAAGCGCCTGCAAATACGCGTTCGCAGCAGTGTAGTTCGTCTGGCCTGGATTACCACCAAACAGTGCGGCACTCGAGAACATGACAAAGAAATCAAGCGGGTCCTTCTCCGGATCGCAGAACCGGTCGTGGAAGATCTTGGCCCCGGGGACCTTGGAGTTGAGCACCATGTCCATCGTCGCCAGGTCCATGTTATTCAGCAGCGCGTCTTTGAGCACCAGCGGGCCGTACGCCAGACCGCCCACTGGCGGCAAGTTGTGTACGTCGCAGAGGGTGCTGAGACCGGCGTCGACAGACTGTGCGCTGGATGCATCCCTGTTTCGTTTTTGTCAGATCATATTCGCCCTCAAACGCGATGCCGGGGGGAGACTTACATGGCGAGCACGGTAATCTTCCCGCCCAACCTCTCCATATCCTCAAGCCACTTGGTCTCGGGCGTCTCAGGATTCCGGCTGGATAGCACAACATGTCGTCCGCCATGCTTGATGATCCACGCCGCAATCGAGCGTCCCATGGACTGCGAAAGCCCGACGAGGAGGTACGTTTTGTTATTGACGAAGAGCGTGCCGGCGTCCACGGGGCTGACGCGTGCGGGGACCTTGGTCTCGGCCTTCCAGTCGACTATCGCGTCGAGGGCGTCCTGCGCGTCGGCGGGCTTGGTGATGGGGCAGGATGCGATGATATCTATATTCAAAGTCGGGGTGGATATAGATTCGGCAACGAGCTGCAGTTGGCTTGCTTCCAGCGCGTCTGAGTAAGCAAAAGCCGCTGCTTTGGAGCGGAAGATGTAGCTTGAATTCCTTGCAGCACAGCCAGTCACGCAGGCGAGTCGTGGGCCGAGAGACGTGGCATGCTTGTCGGAGGACAGATCGTACAGGACAGCAATACCACTCGGAATCTTCTGCTTTATCGCCCTATCTGTATCGCGGGGATGGAGGACGATGCCCTGGGAAACCGACTCATCCACGGAAGCAATGTGCACAGAGACACTTCTGGCCACGGCGACTTGCTTAATCGCATCCACGCAGAACCTCGGCGGGGAGTACACCAGTGCCGACGAGCCCGGCGGCGTATCAACTACTCCCTGCGCGACCAGGTTTGCAACAGACGATAAGAGGGTGTTTGCGGAGGTATTCTCTACAGGGAAAGTATGCTTGACCGGCACAGTGACAATAGATGCGTTGACCTTCGCCAAGGCCAGCACAGCGCCATCCACCGTAGTGCCGGTGACGATGTGGAAGTACCCCAGCCCATGAACGCGGATAGCCTTGACGGTGGCGTGGTGCACGTGGACTGTCTGGCTGGCTGCGTCGGGTGGTGAACCCAGGGGTCGGGAGATCCGACCAGTGACCAGGACTGGGGGTGGCGTGTTCTGCAGCACCACGGGGACAGTGCCGATGTCGACCTCTTCCAGGATCGGGCGGCGGACAGAGTTGAGCCGGTGATTCCGCGCGGTATCCTGCTTGATGCGCGGCACGTGCGGCCGGCCGTCCACGACGCAGATCTCCGGCTCAAGCGTCCAGACGGTATTCTCCGGGATACCCTCCTCCAGGCGCAGGATCTGCTCGACCAGAAATCTGGCGTTCAGGTCCTCGAGCCGGTCCACGTCAAGACACTGGAACGCAACGTCAGGGTTCTCCAAGCGGACAGACCTTAACATGCCGATTCCCATCGCCTGGCGCGGGTTAGAGACCCAGGCGTCTTCCGTCAGCCAAAGCACCCCGCCCGCATTCGAGCCGAAGAACAACCTCTTCACGGCGGCGAGCTTCTCCTCCGTGAACTCGTCAAAAATGGGGCTGTCAACCTCCGAGAGGACCACGTACGTCGCCTTCGGCTGCAAATCCGCAGCCGCCAACTCGACCAAGCTAGGCACGACAAGCGGGTCGCGGCTCGGCAGCAGCTCGCGTATTGTCCTCATGATGGGTGCGAGGGCCGCGCCACTACCCACGATGACAAGCTGTGGGTGTTGCGGCTTGGGCGGGGCGGAAAGGGGCTCGTCGAGGCGGAGCTGCTCGGGCGTGATAGCATGTGTGCTGAGGAGGGTGTTGGGGAAGAGGTGACTTTCGCGGTCAGTTGTGACGCTGTCGATCCCTGAAAAGCCAGTTTTCTTGAAAATGGCATCCCACTCCTCGCGGGTAGCAAATGGGTCCAACGTGCGGCCCTCATCGACGCCCGCCCACCAGTCTGCAAACAATCCAAACAGGTACCCGACACGCATATGATGCTTGTTTGTGGCTTCGCAAATAACCACATGCCCTCCGGGCTTCAACAGGGTGCGGGCGTTCGCCATGGTCTCGGTCAGGTTAGGCGTAGCGTGCAGCACGGAGCTGGCGATGATCATGTCGTACGCGTGGGTCTTGAAGCCCTGCTCTGCGGGCGATTTAGTGATGTCTAGCTTGCGGAAGTCCATGCGTTCGAGGAAGGGGGAGAATTTCTCCTTTGCTTTCTCGAAGAACGCGGCGGAGATGTCCGTGAAGGTGTAACTGTTGAAGCCGAGCTCCGGGATCGCGAGGATGGAGGCCCCAGTTAATCGTGGTGAACTAACTGCCCTGGATTGTGTTGAGCGAAACCCACCGAATCCGTATGTCCCACTATAGTCGAGTCTCTTCGAGCTGACCCTTGAGGTTCGATTGTACATACCATGTGGAGGGGGGGGGGGGATGACATACCGATTTCCAGGATGTCCATGTTCTGGAACCGGTGCGCAATCTGGCCGACCAAGTGCTGTCCGTACTCCCACGTCGGCCCGCTGGTCAAATAGCTCGTGTAGAACTCTGTCAAAAGCCCGTTCTCGTTCATCCAGATAAACGGGTTCTTGTTCTCGCGGATTGTTGACAGGCTGTTGTCGCTGACCAGCTTGGCCAGCCGCAGGTGAGGGTGGTACCAGTTCCTAATGTCCGCATGTTGGTAAGTCGCGTCGTTGTGTCTCGGTGATGGTGGTGTTCTAGATGACTTACTCTTGCAGGAGCTTGTCGATGCTTTGCTCCGTATCCTCCTCCCACTCGGGCTTGTAGAACAAATGCTTTCCGTCCCTGGCAAGCTTGAGAACATGCTCATGCCAGTAGATATACCGCTGATTGCCCACACTCGCCTTCTTCCTATCTTCTTCTGTCAGTTCCGCCAAAAACTTGCGGACAAAGTAGTACACCGCCCGCTCGATAATCGGAATGACCTCCTTGTCCTGCTCCGTGGCCCACAGCCGTTCAATATCGAGAACCTTGTCGGGATTCAGCGGGCCCCATACGGTCTTAGTAAACGGCCTGTGGTCTTCAATTGCAGACGGCGGAGTCAGCGGCACGAGGTGCATGTTTTCAACGCTGTACAGAACCGCATTGGTCTCCTTGTCGAATACTTCCATGTCACCAGAGAGGTAGTCGCCGCCATCATGAGTGTTGACAGAGTTGTACCGCACCCCTTCCAGCGAGTCCAGCGTGCTCGCGCACACAGCCGGCACAAGTGCGATCCGCCCCACGCGCGTCGGGACGTACAGCGAACGCAGCCGCTTATCGCCGGGGGAGGAGTACGCACCCATGACGGTCTGGAAGGCCAGGTCGAGATTGGCGGGGTGCAGAACAATGGGGTTGGCACCATCGACCAGCCGCGGGTGTGCCATGTGGCCAGAGGCTCGCGATGTGCTCCGCAACATACTGTACACGCAGCGATAGTTGTTGCTGTAGTCATAGCCGATGTTATCGAGTTCTCTGTAGAACAACCTAATGTCGACCGGGTTAGCGTGCGGCGGTGCCGGGCCTGGGCTAGGGAGCGACACGGGCTCTCCAAGGGTTACGACAATCCGGCCGTGGGCAGACAGAGACAGTGTCGACTCGCGGGAAAGGCAAGAGGCAATCCCGAACTCCAGGTCGATCTGCGCATCATCGGAATATGTGACGCTCGCAGTAAGCGTCAGTTCCGCCATACTGTCCGCGTCATCGAACGTGACCGCCTTATCAATGCTCAGGTCCAGCATCTCCAACAGCCCTACCCGTACACCCTTCCCCGCGGCAATGTATAATGCCGCCTCCATCGCCATGACCACGTACCCTGCAGCGGGGAGCACCGCCTGGCCCTGGAGCTCATGGCCCTGCATCCACTCGTGGTCTCTTGGCCGGATGAAGTTCCGCCACTGAAGGGTGGTGGCCGTGCTGCTGGGCAGCGCCGTGCCGAGCATGAGATGCGGGCGCGGGCCGTGCAGCGCCGCCTTGGTAGCGCGGGACTCGGACCAGTAGACGCGCGAGTGGTCCCAAGCGTAGGGCGGAAGACGCTTCGAGATGTCGACTGGCGGGGTGGGTTGCATTGCCGCCACCAACGTGGTCCCGTTGACGGCGTTGAGCGCGCCGAGCCGCTCCCAGATGTACCCTAGACCCGTGGCGAACGCAGCCACGTCATCCCCGCCGCGCTGCAGACACCCGGTATACGGGATCGGGTCCGTCATTACAGTGGCCAGCGTGTTTGTCGCGGGTCCTTGGAGTGTTGGGTGCGGGCCGACCTCCACGGCAGCATCTAGCGTATTCTCCAACCCGGCCTGCTCCAGCGCGTGGCGAAAGAGAACGGGCGAGACGAGGTTATCCCGCCAGTACTGCGGCGTAACATCAGCCCTCGTCATGATGTTCCCTTCACGCACGGAGGAGTACCACTTGGCGCCCGTGCCGGTCCCGTCGGCTACCGCACAACCGCAGTCGGCGAGGGCGGTCATGTATGGTTCCGAGCAGGGGAGCATGTGGTTGGAGTGGTATGCCTTGTCGACGCGGAGCAGACGCGCGAATTTGGACTCGTCCTGGAGGATTTCTGCAATCTCTTCCAGGGCGTCCATATCACCAGAGAGGGTAACGCTGTCGGGCGAGTTACACGCCGCGATGCACACACGGCCTGCGAATGCCTCCAGCTCGACTAGTTCCCGCGCATCCTCGAGGGATGCGCCCACTGCCAACATTCCACCCACCTGCCCGGTGGGAGAGGAAGCATGGTGCGACGTAAAACCGCGCAGGTAAGCAATACGAATAGCCTGGCCGGCGCTGATGAACCCCGCCGCGTATGCGCAGCCTATCTCGCCGGAGCTGTGGCCGACGATGACTTCAAAGACAACACCAGCCGCAGACAGCAACCTGACCAGAACGATCTGGACTGCTGCGCAGAGGGGCTGCGAGTATGCGGCCAAGCGTACATTGGACGCGTCGCCTTCCAGAAGCAGCTGCTCCTTGAGCGTCCAGCTGGGCCTGTACTGCTCGGGGAGAGTTTGCAGCGCCGCGTCCAGCTCATCAATAACGGCCGCCACGAACGGAAGGTGCAGGACCAGCTGCTTCATCATCGCGGGCCACTGTGCGCCCTGGCCGGTAAAAATGCCGAGGATGCGGCCGGCTTCGGTGGTTTTGGGTGTGTATTCCAGACCCACGTCGTCTTTGACGGCGGCTTCCAGAGCCTTGCAGAGCGACTCGACGCTGCTGGCCGCCATGGCATGGCGCACGGGGAGGACGGAGCGTTTCTGTAGAAGCGTCCATGCCAGGTCTGTCATGTTGATGTCTGGGGTTGTCTTGATGAGGGATAGGATGCTCTCCATGTTTGCTTTGATGGAGCGTTTCGTCCGGGCTGAGAACACCAGCGGCAGGACGTTGGTTGAGCTGGGACAAGCGGAAGTTGAGGATGCGGCGGGAACATACTCCTCGATGATGGCGTGGGCGTTTGTGCCTCCGAAGCCTGTCGTATTTGAGCATCATACCGTCCAAGGCAATGAAACAATTCAAGGGGAAAAAAAAAAGAAAAAAAAGAAAAGCTTACCGAAAGAGTTGACACTAGCCCTCCGCGGCTGTCCCTCTGCAACAGCTGGCCACGGCGTCGCCTCCTTAGGCACACGCAGATGCTCGCAAAAGGGCTCAACGCGCGGGTTGAGCTTCTCCAGCAGCATGTTCGGCGGCACGATACCATTCTGCACAGCCAGACTGCATTTGAGCAGGCCTGCAATACCAGCCGTGCCCTCCGTGTGGCCGACCACCGTCTTGATGGACCCCACATACAGGTCCTGCATGTCCTCCGTCCCATCAGAGAAGAAAGCGGTCGATATGGCCTCGGCCTCTTGAGGGTCGCCAGCCGGTGTTCCGGTCCCTGTTTCTAGATCAGCATGTTGTTCCTTGGCCGACAGGGCGAAGAAAAAGGATGGGACCGGTCATATACCATGCGCCTCGAAGAACTGCGGCCGCCCCTCGTGCCTACTCAGGTCCAGCCCGGCTCGGGCGTATGTAGCGCGGATGAGCGCCGCCTGCGCAACGTTGCTCGGCATGGTGATTCCCGTGGTCCTGCCGTCCTGACCGACACCTGTCTCACGGATCAAGCAGTCAATTGTGTCGCCGTCGGCGAGGGCCTGCGAGAGGGTTTTGAGGACGACGCATGCTATGCCCTCCTGTGAAGATTATCATGAATCAGGCAGCTGTTTTCTTCCTAGAGAGAAACAGGCGGGCACTCACCCCTCGTGCATATCCGTCCGCCGCAGCATCCCACATGCGCGACCGGCCCGTCGGCGAGAGCATGGACAGCTTGCTTTCCGTAATGAAGTTTACTGTAGCCAGTTAGCTGTTGGTCGCGGTGGACGTAAGATATAGGGACTTACAAGGCGATAGCATTAGATTCGCACCCGCTGCAATAGCAATCTTGCTCGTACCGCTGCGCAGCTGCTGCACGGCATGATGGACTGCCACAAGTGACGAGCTGCACGCCGTATCGATCGTCATCTGCATCCATCAGCACCACCCACACAAACGCCAACCCTCCACTCTCCCTCTACCTCCCTGACATCCAGCAAGAAGAAAGAACTTACGCTCGGCCCATGCCAATCGAAAAAATAACTCAATCGGTTACTCGCAATACTCGTGGCCGCCCCCGTCGCCAGATACGTCGGAATCGCATCCAAGTCCCCAACCTTGGTCAACTCGAAATCATGAGTCATGATGCCAACGTAGACGGCCGTATCGGACCCTTTCAACTCGGCAAGAGTTTGTCCGGCAGAGCACAGCGCATCATATGTAGCCTCCAGCAGCTGGCGCTGCTGCGGGTCCATGCTCTCGGCCTCGCCAGCTTGGACATTGAAGAAGTGCGCGTCAAAGGTCTTTATGTCCGAGAGAAAGTAGCCGTGCCGTGCGTTGGTACGCCCATGATGACTGCCGTCGGGGTGGTGGAAGGCGTCAACATTGAAGCGGTCTTTTGGGACTTGGGACTGGAGATCATGGGGTTTGGAGAGAAAGTTCCATAGCTTGGAGGGGGTATTCAGGTCGCCTGGGAAGCGGCAGGCACTGCCGATTACGGCAATGGGTTCTGGGGCCATGGGGAGGTGAGATAGAATGGCGAGGTGAGATGGGATGTTGAGGTGAGATGGGATGGCGAGGTGAGGTAGGATAGGGAAGTAAGTATAATCATATAAAGGGTGCAAAATATCATCTTCAACGGGGTCTTCGAGATGTGGCAGGATGGTCATTCATATCCGCCGCGAGCATGAATCATGTAAAGCGAATGTCCTATGCCCACATTCACCGCAAGGTAATGACAGAGGCGTCTAGTGCGGCCGTTCCTACTGGGTCCTCAGAAAACATAAAAACGACATGCCGAAACTCGCACTACCGGTGTCGTCTATCCGCATACATGCTACCATCAGCCAAGACTGTGCGAAGTCTTCATCAACCACGCAGCACAACATCAACCTAGGGTTTTCGCCGGCAGACTACCTAGCATGCTCTACTATAGCCGGGATGAATGTAATAAGTATAATGTGGGTGCGAGTAAAAGACAGTCATATATTAAGTACAGTACACCAAAAGCTAGACTTACACCCTGCTAAGAGAACACTCAGACTTTAGGAATACATGGAGCTCAAAGGAAACCTTGACTATGTACATAGTAACAGACTCAACGCGCTTCATGCCTACTCACTATATGCCTAACGTCTTTGATGTAATCTTTTACTCACGAAACCCTCCGCCTGTTTTCTACCGAGTAGATATATATTGCTACTGCGTTGGTTAATAATTTGTTTTCATATGCATGTAGAAAATAGTAGTAACAACTAGCCAAAAGTGGGAATCGGTTGTCGGGGCGCCCCTCCTACATACATCCATAGAAACCCTTGTAGCTTGAGTTATGACTCGGTGCTGTATCAGTCCACAGGGCTAAGTCGGCCCCCGTTCCCAGTCAAGGAAGCCGTTGCCGTTTTACCAGGTGACATCTCTCCACTCAGTGAGTGGATGTAGGACGGGCGAACTGGAGGGGACGAGACATGAGTAATTTGAATGACTCCGACACCTACCGTCGCGAGCGGTATGACCTTAACGTGTACATGCTGGGATTTTCAACTGTTGAATAGTCACATATTCGAGATTATCTCACTAGGTCGGCTGATACAGTTAACGAGACAACTCGTAGTCAGATCTGCACCTCAACCCTCCGAAACGAAGCAAACCAAAGGCTGTTCACGGCTGCTCTGGAGTGATCAAACACAGCAGAGCGGCGAGGAAAGGCAACATGGCCGAACCCAAAGTAACCTGGACCTCCCTCCCGCGAAAAGACCAACTGGTCATCCTGTTCCTCGTCCGCTTCTGCGAGCCTATCGTCAAGGTCTCCATCTCCTCCTATGTCTACTTCCAGCTGCAGTCGCTGGACCCGTCACTCCCAAGCGCTGCCATCGTCCAACAGACCACGCTGCTGCAGGCTGCGTATACCATCGCGCAATGTCTCGCGAGCATTTTTCTTGGGAGCGTCGCGGATTCACCTAGGGGCGGAAGGAAGGTCGTTGTTGTGTTGAGCTTGTTGGGTTCTTGTAAGTCCTGCGAGATTTGCATGTTGTAAGGTGTGTATGTGTGTGTGGTAGTGGTGGTGCTGATGTTGGACGGTCTAGTTGTCGCGTGCTCGTTATTCGGCTTCGTCGCCAGTTTCGAACAGGCCCTCGTGCTGCGCTTCGTCGAGGGTCTGACTAACGGTACTGTTGCCATGGTCCGGACCATGACGGCCGAGGTCGTGCAAGAGAAAAAGTAAGTCTGTGGTGCTGATTCCGTAGCCACTTGGTTTCTCGGCTGACAAGACCAGGTTCCAAGTAAGGGCCTTCGTCCTCCTCAACATCAGCACCAGCTTCGCCATCATCCTCAGCGCCCTCGTAGCGGCCGGCACGGTCGAGCTGACGCCCAAGGCCCACGGCAGCGGGTTGTTGACCCGGTATCCGTATGCTCTGCCCGCCCTTCTCAACGCTGGCTTCTTGCTGGTGGTGTTGGTGACGGCTGTTTTGTTCCTTGAGGAGGTATGGCACTCCCATAACATCAACACATATACACACACGCACAAACATACACACACACAGACATCCGCCCCAACAGAAACTGACCATGATCCAGACCTCCAAACTCGTCCGCCACAGGTACGACCCCGGCATCGCTCTGTCACGCTACATCCTCTCTCGACTCCAGATGCTCCGGAACCGCGACAGCAAAGAGGCACTGTACTCCCGCGTCGACGAAACTGAGGAACTCGTCTTGCTCGAAGAGTCGGAACTGCCGTCACCACGGCCCGAAACCAAGTCCGTTGCCAGGCTCCCCACCACCCGCATCTTCACGAAAAACATGGTGCTGGTCCTCCTCGCGGCCTTCATCTACGAAGCGCACCTCGGGACCGCGAGCGTCGCTTTCCCGAATCTCCTCGTGACGCCCGTCTCCAGCCGGGAGGAGGAGGCGCAGCGGCTTCTACCGTTCTTCTTTGGTGGGGGGGCTGGCTTCACTCCTTTGCCCTTGGCTGTGTACTCGGTCATGTACGGTCCGTACAACGCCCAACTACACCCGCACCCTTTTTTGCGGCCTTTTTTTTTGATTTTTGAAATCATGCTGACCGGATTAAACAAAACATCAAGGCATCTTCTCCATCCCCCTCCAGTTAATCCTCTACCCACGCCTGTCGCAACGCCTCGGGCCTCTGCACGTCTGGCGGACCTTCTACCTCGCCTACCCGTTTCTCTACTACGCGTACCCCTTCGCAGCCCTCGTCCCTTCCAGCACCCCTCCACCATCGGGCAAAACGGGAGTCGCAATCTGGGCCGTGATAACGCCCATGCAGATGCTCACCGCCCTGCTGACCAGCACCGTGTCCCCGTCCCAAACGGTCTTGATCAACGCGGCGTGCCCACACCCGTCTGCACTCGCCAGGACACACAGCATTGCGTTCTTCTCCTCAATGGTCACGCGGGCGGGGAGCACGGCGCTGGCAGGAGCGCTGTTGGGGTATGGCACGTCGCATAATCTGACGGGGTTGCCGTTTTGGGGGTGTGCGGCCATTGCTATGCTGGGGGCTTGTTTGAATCCGTTTCTGAGCGAAGGGACAGGTCATGAGATCCGGTTGCCGGGGGATGAGTAGCGGGGCGGTGGATGGTGTGCGAGTCGCGATAAGTAGATGGCATGCGTGCCACACACTGAGAATGTGTTTACCATGCAAGGACGAGTCGACCACAGTATCAGATAGAAACAATCGTGCCGCAGTACCGGTCCGGTCTCCCCTTACCCCCCTCTTATTTTCTTTTCTTCTTTTTTTTCTTCTCTTCTTTTTTTTTCTTCTTTTTTTCTCTTTCTCCCCAATTCAAAGCACTCATTCCTTAAGAAGGGGTGGTCTCGGGGTCCAACATCACCCTGGCGTGTCACCATACCATAGACAGTGTATACCCAGTCAATTCCCCAAAGACAGCAAACTGACAGGGTAACTCACCGGTCTTGAGGTCCGTATCCCAAAAATGGCCCGCTTCACCTCCAAAATCGCCTTGGTGACGTCGTGCGCATCCGGCAGCGGCGCCGCCATCGTCCGACGCCTGGCGTCCGAAGCCGCGATCGTCATCGCCGCCGACAAGACGGGCCACGAGGCGCTGGCGGCCGAGCTGGGCGACAGCGTGATCCCACGACACCTCGATGCGGCGTCGGAAGACAGCATACGCGATTTGGAAGCCTACATCCGAACGGCGCATGGGCGGCTCGACATCCTGGTCAACAACACGGGCATGGGCGGGCCGCGCTGCCCAATCTTGGACGTGACGGCTGCAGATGCCGCCGAGGTCTTCCGGTACAACATCCACGGGGCCTTCCTCCTCCTCCAGCTCGGGCTACGCTTCATGACTTCGCAGCCCACGGGAGGATGCATCGTCCTCACGGCATCCATTGCAGGGCTGGTCGGCACGCCCAACTCGGCCCCCTACGCCATCTCCAAGGGCGCGGTGATTGCCATGGTCAAGACGGCGGCGGTCGAGTACGCCAAACACGGGATCCGGGTCAACGCGGTAGCCCCCGGCCCGACAGCGGTGCCGATGGTAGAAGCGCTGGGCGAGGCTGCGACGGCCGGGTTGAGAGCGAGGATTCCGCAGGCGAGGCTGGCAGAGCCGAGGGAGGTGGCAGCAGTGGTTGCGTTCCTGGCGGATGACCAAGATACAGGGCACGTCACCGGGCAGGTTTGGTGTGTTGACGGGGGGTGGACGGCGGCGTAGTCCATGTGGCTGCGGCAGTCAAGAACAGCAGACTGCGGATACGATACTGACTCGGTTGGGCTGCCAAGGTAGCGAGCGGTTAACAGGCAGACGGATTACGGGGCTTTCAAGGGATCAGCAAAGTACTGACCTACACACTCCCCAGTACCTCTCTACTTTAAATCCTCTCACTCCAAGTTAATAGACCAAGTGAGTAGGGTACCTATTATAAGGATATACTCTAGCCTATATGTTAAAATGATTTAGAGGCAGATCAGCCAAAGGTTAAATTTGCCTAAAAAGCTAATTGTGTGTGTGCTATTAGATTTTAGATGCATTTAAAGCTAATACTCCGTAAAGATAGAGCTGTTTTCTCTTTCTACTTGGAAAAAGGGTGGTTCATCTGGTCCGTGCGTTATTAAGCGAGAGAGACTTGGGCCAGTACTTTGCTGACTCAAGTTTGGCCCCGCAATTTGTCTGCCTGTTAACTGCTGCCGCTGCCGTGGGATGAAGTGGAAATTGCGGAAAAGCGGCTCTGTTTTTGTATCCACATGCATGCGTGTCGGGTTACGTGGAGGTGGTGGGGGGATGGGGAATTAAGCTTTCGCCTGACATGCACACTCACTTGCAGATCTGCATTTACCTGCCTGCCGCTTTCACTATGCCCAACTAGGTATGTAAGACGTTGACGACAGGGCTAGCGCCGATCTGCGGGGAGGGGGGGTGCTCACCGACACAACGCAACCCCCAGATCCCAGACGTGAATTGCCATGGACTGACTGTGATTCTTTGTTTTTTTTTTTTTCTTCTTGTTTTTTTTCGTTGGCAATCAGAATCATGCGGTACACATACGTGTCAGGTAGTCGGTCTCGATTCGATGCAGTACACCTGGGGTTCATTCATCAAAGAGTGCTTATTGTGCTTGATTGAGGCCTTCTTCCCCATCCCGGTCGAAGCGGGGCTCGACGGGTTCTTATACACTGTATCCGTATATCCTATACACTGCATATCGGCGTTATCCGGATAAGCGAGTCTCCACGTACAGCCCGGTTAATTTCATCCCGCTTAACTGCCTCCCGGCTTACGTGATGTGGTCCTGCCCACGCAAACGGCGCACCAATATCTCGACTTGCCATCCTTGCTTGCATGCTCCCAAAAGTGAAGACCATCCGGTCCCTCCCCTTCCTTCGCTCAGCACTCACAAACATCACACAGGTCACCAGGCCTGTCAGTCAGTCAACCAACAGCTCAAAAGACTGGCTGACAAGACAAAATGCTCTACAAAGACCAGTACGCCTCCCTTTCCTCGGACAGTCCCGACTGCATCAGCGACGGCGAGCCCGAACAGTACCCCCTGACACCGGGCGGCGTCCAACCTGCACCGCCCCCCCGCAAGTCCAGGAACCGATACACGTACGCCGTGCTCGCAGTGCTCGCGCAGCTTGTGTACACGATAGTAGTCCTCGTCGCAGCGCGGACGTTGTACTACAAGAGAGTGTGTCCGGTCGTCGCCGCGCCGGATCGCTATCGCGCTTGGGCAAGTCCTGCGGCATTTCTCCGTGGGGGTAAGTCATGTGCTGACACTGGGTAGCATGTGCTAGAGTATAAAGAGGTTCCTGCCGACCACAAGGAGCCGGACGAGCACCACCCGTACCTGGGCACTCCGCGGCCGGAGCTGGATCGGAATTGGAATACGCTTTTGTCGAGTATTGCCCTCCCACCTGAAGCCTGTATACACGGTTGGGGACCCACTGACGGGAACAAATCAAACAATAGCATTCCGCAACCGCGTTCCAGGCGCCGAGGTAAGCAGGCTGGGGATCGAGGAGGGGTCCATCTGGCTGGATGACGATGTCGGTCAATAGTACGTTTCGCAAATTGCGCGGCTTGGATGTTGAGAGGCTGACTTAGGCGTGCAGTTATGGGAGCGTGTGGGTTGGACACAACCTGCACTGCGTTGTAAGTCGAGACCTTGGCCGGGTTGCTGGAAAGCTGCTGATGAAGAATGGCAGAAATATCTGTACAATGGCCTGCATCGGGACCATTATTACCACAACATGACCGAGGCGGAAGAGAAATCGCACAGCAGTCATCTGCGTATGTTTCTTTCTTCCTCTCACACTCCAACTTTCCCTTTCTCTCTCTCTCTCTCTCTCTCTCTCTCCGCCCCTTGCTTTCCCCATCATACTGCGTACTGACCAAGACCAGACCACTGCCTCCACCGCCTGATGGACGCGCTTAAATGCCACCCAGACATGTCCCCGCTGTCTTTGCACTGGGTGGTCAACGAGGTCGCGCCCGTTGTCAATTGGGACGGGGCGCGGCACACGTGCGCCAACTGGGACCGCGTTATGGACTGGGCCAGGAGCAACCAGATTGTTCCCGCTGGGAAGGCTAGTCTCGGGCAGGGTAAGCATCGCAGAGTCCAGCAGAATACCGTAGGCAAACATGCTGACCCGAGTTCCCTGCAGTCGCGCCGCACCCTCTTTACGGTATGTACTGTGAAAACCGCCGTATTGTTTGTTTTGCAAAGGGAGCTGGCTGATGGCAAATAGCGACGTTGCTGGATGAGAACGGCCACGCCGACTTTTTGAACCAGGACGCCATCGTCGAGTGGGAAAAGTTGTTTGCCAGGCCGGATTGGCAGGCGTGGGCTAAGGAGCACGGGGTTCCGGAGGGCACTATTCCCGACAAGGAGATGCTGAGGAACCATCATGTCGGGTAGGTGTCAACGAATGGTGTGTTTGTTCACGGACTGGCTGTCTTGATGTATGCATGGTCGGTTGCGGGTTTGATGAGTGCGGTTTTTGTTCAGTGGTTGGACAGGTTCATCAATATAGCAAGCGTATCATCATCACATGGTGTTTGTGTAGAGTAATTATACCCATAAACAGTTACATCATCTGTCTACGATGCTGGCCAAACCGCCCGGAAACCTATTCCTTCCTGACAGCGGCCCTCATTTTTCCAACTTGCGTGCCCGGCCAGTTATAAGCCGCAAAGCCCTGTCCCTTGCCACCGACCTTCGCACTCGGCAGACCCAGCAGCGCCCTCTGGCGCTCCGACAACTTGGCCTTGACCTCCTCACCTAGATTGGCCTGGTAATTCTCAATTTGCCGCACGAAGAACCTGCAAAACGACTGCAGGATAACCGGCCGCGCCTCGTTGGTCGTATTGACTCCCGTCGAGTGCCAGGTTCTGCTGTCGAGGAGCACGCAGGAGCCTGCTGGTGCTGCGACGGGAATTGATGTGCCCTTTTGTGGTATGTATATATCAGCTTTTATTTCATTTTCTTTTTATTTTTTCACCATCCCAAACTCGACACGACACAAGCACAAAAAACAGAAGAAGAAGAAAAGATAACCACTTACGATTTGATTCATATCAGCCGGCAAAACATTCATCACATGACTTCCTGGATACACCCGCGTGGCACCCTTCTCATCGGAAACATGAGTCAGATACCACATGGCGTTGAGCACATAGGCATGCGCGGTTGTGTCGGGCGTCATGACCATCTGGTCGCGGTGCATGTATATGCCCGACGTGCCGGGCTGCGCGATATTGGCCGACATGGTGAAAAGGCTGAAGTTGCCGCCCAAGAACCACGGCATGATTGCGTCGATGAGGGGGTGGTTGAGCAAGTCGAGGAACTCGTCGCCTTTGTTGGGGAGGTTCCTGTTATCGGTCGCCTCACATCAGCCTCTGCGCTCTAGCTCAGAAAAGGGGGGGTTTAAACAAAAGGGGACAACTGACCAAACCCTTTGATTCGGCTGATCACCCGCCTTCTTATGCGCGTTATCCAAATGCCCGACCCCGACCAACCTTTCCGCCTCAGCCTGCTCCTCTACCGCCGTCCGAATAATCTGCACCTGCTCGGCGCTTAGCGCATTCGCACAGATGGCATAACCCCATTTCGTCAGATCGCGCTTCAGCTGCGCCACATCTTCCGTCGGCTGAGGCAGCAGCGTCTCGCGGTCAACGGTCATGCAGAGCCCCGGAACGCCGGCGGGTGCGAAACAGGAGGGTATGGCGCCAAGGGTGGGCGGCGTGGCTCGCTTCCCGAAGGCGTGTTGGCAGTGCAAGCGGCCCTCGATTGCGTCAAGGACGTACTCTGGCAGGATGGTTATTGATTTGTGGACGGTAGAGGGGACGGTGGTCGAGAGGACGGGCGGCACGGCCGTTGCGTCGATGGTGAGGGGCTGATGCGGGAGGGTGTCGGAGCCGAGCCGAAGGACGATTGTGTCGTTCAGGTGAGAAAAGTTCTGGGCCGGGTCAGTCGACGTTGTCGGTGGGGGGGGGGGGGGGGGGGGGGTATGGTCAGACCACAGAATATTCATATGGCGGCGATCCAACCCCGCTGCGGACTAAATGGCCAGTCGAGGAATCCGGCATTTTCGACGTACACCTAGCACTGAAAAAATTTTTGGGCCGGGCCATTCCCTTTTTCGGGGGGGGGGGGGGGGGGGTGGTCATGATCACGTACGGAGAGATTATCCTGGATCCAGCGCCGGACCCGGGCCACATTCTCGTGGAAGCGGGCTAGAGGGTCAATATGCGAGGCTTGATAGGGTTTTCCGGCGAAGTCCAGGCCCGGGGTTGCTGGTGAGGCTGGGGGCGGGAGGCTGTAGGACATTTTGGCGGTGGTGAGAAGATGGAAATGTTGGCACGATGGGGTTGGACACAAGGCCAGTGTTTGCCGAGCTGTCTCTGTTAATGATGCCGAGGAATATGCCATGACCGTCATGTAGGCTTGATAAAGGCGGGACTCGGGCTCAACCACGGACTGGACCGATAGTGGGTTGACCCCGTACGATTACTCTTGATCTACATGCAACATGAGTTCTGTCGTTAACCAAGTCTTCAGGCCCAGATCATCATACCTGCTACACTAGACGTATGCAACAAAAGGATATTGCATCAAGTCAGTGGACTATCAAAGAGTATCCCCACGCAGCGTTTTCAAACTACATGACCGGGATACCGAAAGGAGAACACAAGCCCCCCCCCCCCCCATCACTTACACTCCCCACTCACTTTTCTCTACACAGGGATCCCCAGCACAAAGTCCATCACCTTTCTGACATCCCCCATCTTCCTCGGTACTTCGTGCTCGCCATCAAACTCCACCAACCTGGCGCCTTTGTAATGAGTCGCGTACGTTCTTCTCGACTGCGGCAGATTCTCGACATCCTGACGCCCATGCAAATGCAGCGTCGGCAACTGCACCACAACCCCCTCCTCGCCGCGTCCTTCCTGCTCGCAAATATCCCGCATGTACCCATTCGCGACGGCACTGTAGCCGGGGCAGAGCAGCACTCCGAACTTGACGTCGGGTAGCCACGTCACCCGCCCGACCTGCCGCTGCCACAGGAGCATGGTCGATGCCACCGCGCCCTGGGAGAAGCCCAGTACTCCAGCAATCCTGACACCGGGGTTGTTACTCGTGTAGGTCTCGACGCTCTTGTGCACCGACTCATTAAATATGGCAACTTCAGAGGCAGCGTCGTCATGGACGGGCCTGAACCAGCTGTAGAACGGGTCCATGCCCGCAAAGAACGGAAGTACGCCAGGCCCGGGCGTGGCCATGTGCGGTGCGCAAGCATAGAGGAAGTCGTACTCGTGGGCTAGGGCGGCGCGCAGGGCCGAGGTCTGGAAGCGGAAAATGTCGTGGGAAGCCCCGCCGCCGTGCATGCAGAGGATGGCTTTGGATGGTTTTTTAGAGAGGCCCATTGTGAAGGACGAAGAGGATGAAATAAACGTTTCCTGCGAGGGTGGTTTTCCGGCTTTGTGTAATGGTTTACATGGCGATGGATTGTGTATGATGGAGCTTGTGGGACCCGGACTAATATACTGTGGTTTGAGGGATATGAATGTACGGAGAATCCGGCGCTTGGTTGAAGGACTGGTGGGGTTCTTACATGATAGATGCATACAAGTCGATAGATCATCAAGGCAAGAACACATGCACAAATACATACTACGCAGTATAACCTCAGATCCTGGCCCTCACCGCCTCTACTTGGTATAAAACGAAGAAATCGTATTACTCCGTTCCTCCGTCCAGCCAGCCCATCTCCGGCCCCAACCACATCCAACCTTCTCCTCATCGTCCTCAGCACATGTTCGTCGCCGAAAAAGATGACCAGCCCGTTTACACCAACCACCACCCAGCCCGGTCTAGTCGTCGACGATGACGACAACGTCATCGTCCGCCGTGACTGCCCCTTCCCCTCTCTGCCGCCAGACCAAGTCCTCGTTCGTGTGCACGCCGTCGGCGTCAACCCCAGCGACACCAAGATGCGCGGGCCGTTCGCTCTTCCCCACGCAATCCTTGGCGCCGACTTTGCAGGCGAGGTCGTCGCCATCGGGGCCGACGTGACCGACGTGCGGATAGGCGACCGCGTATGCGGCGCGCAGAACGAGCTCTTCAAGGCGAGTCCAGAGCGCGGGGCATTTGCTGGCTACAACGTGACTCGCGGCCGCATGTGGATGAAGATCCCTGACGCGTGGAGTTACGAAGCGGCCGCGAGCTTGCCCGTTGGGCTTTGCACTGCCGGTCTGGCGCTGAAGCTGCTGGGGTTGCCGCTACCAGATCAGCCGGTAGACAAAGCCGCGCATGTGCTGGTTTACGGCGGGAGTACTGCGACGGCCACGATTGCCATCCAGCTCTTGAAGCTGTAAGTCTCTGGGACATGTAGCATTTGACGTGAGGTCTGAGCTGTGCTGACGGCAATGATTGGGGGAGCAGGTCTGGGCTGATTCCTATCGCCGTGTGCTCGCCCAAGAACTTTGCGCTGGCGAGGAGTAACGGTGCCGAAGAGGTTTTTGACCGGCATGACAAGGAATGTGCGCAGAAGATTGTGAGTTTTTCAAGAGTTTTTGTTTGGTTTTTTTCCTTCTCCTTTTTTCCTTTTTCAATCATCCTCTCTCGCTACCAGTCGCCAGTGATGCTTCACCCACATGGGATAAACAAGACTCACATCCCGCTAACAGACGCTATGAAAACAGAAATCCTACACGAAAAACAATCTGAAATACGCCCTCGACTGCATCACCAGCGTCGAGTCGACCATTCTGTGCTTCGCGGCCATCGGGCGGGCGGGCGGCAAATACGTCTCACTGGACCCCTGGCAGGAGCACGCGGCCACGCGCAAGGTCGTCAAGTGCGACTTCACCGTCGGGCCGAGGGTGTTTGGCGAGGGATGTACGTGGCCTGCCCCGTACGGGAGTGAGCCGGACGAGGAACTGGGAGACTTCGGGGTGAAGCTGTGGGACGTGGCGAGGGGGCTGGTTGCTGAGGGAAAGCTCAAGAACCACCCCCTCAGAGTACTGGATGGTGGGTTCGAGGCGATTATGGCGGGGATGGAGCTGATTCGTGACAAGAAGTTATCTGGCGAGAAGATCGTAGTGCGGATGTAGGTATATGTGGACTGCTGACACAAGTACGGGTATTCGGTCAAACGTGATTTAATAGTATACGGCCGTATCGAACCACTTTGAGGAAATGAATCTACTACTACAGCCACGCAGTGGACCCACCCACAAACCTCATTATACTCCAGTTCCATAGTACAGAGTAGGGGTTCATATTCAGTTATTTGAAAATTACTAATCACAAGGTGATCTCAAATTCTATCTAAATTCAATAAAAAGAATCATATTTCTCTAGAATAATACATCAAGAGATAGGGGCTAGTTGTAGTGATATAATAAAGTTGATAAAAGTAGTTAGGTACGGCTATGTACTAAATCACCTACGGCTAAATACTCGTACTCTACTAATACAAGAAGAGGCTGCGCGGGTCGACAGTGGCAGTCTGATGAAGACTTTGTTTTGGTCGTGCGCTAGGGTACCGCTACCCAGCATGTCCCTGTTAGACCACGACTTGGATTATGGTCCCGAGGTTTCTCGCGGACCGGACCGGGGTGTGTGCCTTAAGGGTGTGTGGGGTGGTTTTGGGACGAACAATAGTTCCAGCGTGTTGGGCCTGTGTGGGCGCTAATGCAACGTACATGGTATGAGATCCATGTAAGCCTTACACATGTCTGTCAACGCCACGCAGGGGGTTGTCTGTGCGTGTTGGTTGATCTCATGGCTTTGAGATGAGGACATGCGGTTATCACCCCACCTTCAATCCTACGCAAAGTGGAAAAGGCGGCTCTTCCAAGCGATCTGCTGGTTTCATTTTGCCGGCCGAAAGCAAAAGCTATCCTAGTTGCCGGCCGAAAGTAAAAATCCCTCATGGTGGAGTCACACGCTTTCCATCTCCACCCCCCCCCCCCCCCCCCCCCCAGTCCCACGCAAAGTGAATAAAGCCGCTTCCAAGCAATGTGCCCGATTTCTTTCTGCCGGCAGTGAGTAAGCTGTAAAACATGGCATCACAACAATCTGGTGGCAAGGAGGACGGATACGTGGCCCCGAGAGACTCTAGCACGGAGGAGAATGCCAGGTTGATTCAATCCGAAACCGAGCCGGCTCCTGCGCCGAGGCAGGGTAGGCTACGGAGGCTTGGCCCAACGTTCCTGCTGTCGCTGTCGAATCTCATCACACTGTCAGCCTTGGTGTTGCTGCTCGTATCACACCATGATACGATGTCGTGCGTGCCGGATAGGCATCCGCACTGGATTGCACCTGAGAGTGAGTTCGGCTTTGCCGAAGGATGTGTGTGTGTGTGTGTGCGTGTCGTATATGTTTGCTAAATGCTTACAGTCCCGGTCACCAAGATCCTTGAGGCCAACGATGTCTATACTCGTCCGCCGGACGAGGACGAGCTGAAGGCTTGGAGCCACCTCATGCCTTGTAAGGAGCCTCCCCCAATCTTGGAAAATGCTGCATGTCTGACTCCAAACAGTGGGCAGAGGCCTTGTCATGGTCGACAAAACCGGCCTTCCCGGCATGCCTGGCCTGAACCTGTCCTCTCCCCGCGGCACATCAGGCTGGACCGGGATCGCGCACCAACTACACTGTCTTGTAAGCTTCCTCGAACTATGCACATATAATCATCAACCAACAGAATAAAAAACACAGTACTCAACCAAACACGCCTTCTATGACCTCTACTATAACCGCACCGGCGACAAGACAGAGCCACTTTTCGGCGTCGGCTGGCAGCTCGAGCACCTCAACCACTGCTGGGACTACGTTCGACAGACCATCATGTGCAACCCTGATTTAACAGTCGAGTGGCGGGGTGAGTACGAGGGGACAGGTTGGGGGTATCAACGGCAGTGCAAAGACTGGGGCCCGGTTTATGACTGGCTCGAGAAGCACCGGATTACGAACGATCGCGGCATTTTGGCGCTTGGGTACGAGAGAAGGCCGTTGGATACTAGCGTTGTGCCGGGGGTTTGGTCGAGTAAGGATCTGGAAGACATTGATGTTTAGCAGCTTCAATGTGCTGTGGCTTCAAGAGCAGTGCGGCCGATAGGACGGACAAAGTATTTATGTTTATATGTGTAAATACATACATATATATAATCTACTGGTATTGCAAACTCGACCCCTCACAAGCCCAATCTACGCTATGGGCAGGCCGTCATCCATTTACTTCATAAATGCGGCAAACTTCTCCCGACTATCTTGCCCCTTGTTCAACCTCGCATAGGCCGCCTCGATTTCGGCCTTGTACTCCTCCTCCGCCCGCGTCCGCAGCACAAGCTGCTTCATGCCCAACGGCAACGGCCGCCCCTCCACAGTCACCATGACCGTCTCCACCGGAATCCGGATCTCCTTGACGACCTGACGGTTCAACGGCTCGATGACTGTTTCCCAGACCTCCCTTGCGACGTCCCCTTGGTTCCGTCCACGCACCGCATCTTCGTACATGTCTAGAATCACAAATGGCGCCGGTCGTCCGGCACCCCCGACGAACGAGACCCGGACGCCGAGGTGTCTTGCAATCGGCGTCTCGAACTCGGCCGCGTCGAAGGAGACCCCGCCGAAAAGCTTAACGGAGTCGTCGGCCCGCGCAAAGAACTCCCACCGCATCTCCCCGTCACAGTCGACCGGCCGCCACAGCTCCTTGGTGTCAATCGTATCGGCATGCTCAAACATTCTCACGTTCCAGAAGGCACACATGTCCTCCCTGGCCTCGCCCTCTGGCCGATCAATAAACATGCGGTGCACATCGCCATCCTCGGTCGCGCTCGTCGGCAGCTCCGACTTGCTAATCGGGACGAGCCGCACATGCGCCTCGGGGATGAAGTCGAACGTGTGCCAGAACTTCTTGTCCCGCGGCAGGAACGAGAACCGCCCGCCGGTTTCGGTGGCGCCGATGACGGACCCCAGGCGCGTGTGTTGCACCAGCGCGTCGCCGACGGTCTTGTCCAGCCGCGCGCCGAGGTACGTGACGAAGTCGAGGGCCTGGAGCGTCGGGCGGGTGGTGGCGTCGTTAAACAGCTCGGCAACGGTAAAAGGCGTCGCCACGAGCCCTTCCACCAAGTTGAGCTCGGTGAGCTTGTCGAACACGGCGGGCGGCAGACCCACCGCGTCGGGCGGGGGCAGCACGCAGCAGGTGTTCGCAAAGACGCCGAAAGCGTTGGTCAGAATGAGCCCCGAGTTCCATCGCATCGGGCAGGCCAATATCAAGCTCCTGCCGTAGAGTTCCTCGGACCCAATAGCCCTCGGCCAGTTCCGCTTGGACAGCTGCGGCGACGCGCAGGCCGCTGCCCAGAAGCCGTTGTTCATGTAAATGGGCTTGGGCGGGCCGGTTGTCCCGGAGGTGTGGATGATGAGGATTTCTTCCCACTTGTGCTCCTCGTAGGTCTTGGTGTATGGGTACGGCGGGGTATCCTCGGCGGCGAGACACCACTCCAGCGATGGGAAGGCGTGTTGCGCGACGCCGGTTTCTTCCAGACCGAACGGGGTTTGGGCGGCAATCTCATCCTCGGTGTACAGCCATGCTTTGCAGCTGGATTCGGCCAGGAGGCCGTGCAGCGCACCTTTCATGAGGCGGCCGTCAGGGGTGAGCAGCTATTTCCTCCGACACGTCAGCGTATCCGAAGCAATAATACTACAGCCTGAGAAAGAGAGATGACGCACCTTACGGTTCGACTTGTTCAGGGCAGCAAAAACAAACGCATAGCGGATGTCGTTGGCCCCGAAGTACGACACGGTAGCATTGTCGGCCGACTTGCCGAGCGTCTCATCCAGCCAGTGTGCAATCTTATTGATGCCGTCGTTGTACTGCTTCCAGGTGATGGAGCGGTAGCCGTTCGTCTCCCAGTTGTCGCACGGGACGCGCGCGAAGATGCCGGTGGGGGTTAGGCGAGCTTTCTCTTCGATTTTGCGGACGAAGAGCTTTTCCTTTTTGAATGCCATGTCGACGAGATGTGAGAGATAGGCTAGCGGGTTTTGGACAGGTGGTTTGAAAGCGTCGTGAGGGGACCAGAATGACAAAAGAGTTGATGTTCTGGCGGTCCCGTCCCGAGTATGCACGACTACACCCGTATCACCCACGCGCACTAGTCATGAACTAAAAACCTTATCCCATGCGCCCGTCACCGACAGTCCTCGGAAACAAATAAAACCCAGGATAGACACTCCTCCCCCCGCAAGCACCAAGATCCAGCAGCCCAAGCCCTACGCATCGTCTGACTCAAAGCCACAAGAAAAAGAAAATGCAAACGGCAACAACCCCACCCCTGAACCCGCGCCTCTGGGCCGGCGGGATAGACCAGTACCTCGCCGACAACGATATCACCTGCGCCTCCGCAGCCCCGATAGACGCCGGCACATCCTGCTACATTTGGCGACTGGACAGCCTTTCGCACCCCGGCCATACGCCCACCGAGCCGGCCGTGCTGAAGTGCGCCGACAGCACCCCCAAGTTCAGCAACGACGCCGTCTCCCCCGCCCGGCTGTCAACCGAGGTCCGGGCGCTGACGTGCCGCGCCGTGGCGGAAGCGTCGCGGGCGGAGCCGAGCGTGCGGGTGCCGAGGGTGTTAAGAGTCACAGAGAACGGGTTCATCATGTCATGGGCAGGGGAAGTGAACCTCCTTGACGCATTCCGGAGCGATCCTAAGCTGGACGTTGCGGATATCGGCGCGCGGATTGGGAAATGGCTGGGCTGTCTGCAAGTTGCGGGCGTCGACTCGGGGGCACCCGGTTTTGAGCCTGTCAACCCGGAGCTGGGACGGTTTTACAACCCCGGCGGATTCATGGATAAGCTAGTTCAGTCCGTGGTGACGGATGGCAAGGAGAGCGACAGGATTCTGGCCGCGCTGCGCGGGACGGAGACGGTGCGCACGCTGACGGCGTGGGATTTCCGGCCGATGAACGCCCTACTCCGCTTCTCGGGCGGCTCCAACAACAACAACAACAACAACAACAGACCGGACATCTACATCGTGGATTGGGAGCTCGCGCAGTTCGGCGAAGCAGCCGGGGATGTGGGCATGTGGTGCGTTGAAGCGATGGTGCTGGAGGGCAAGCACGGCGGCGACAGGGGCTTGCTGCGGTCGTTTTTGCAAGCGTATAAACAGCACGCTGCGGGCATTGTGGACGAGACGTTTGTGTGCAAGCTCGCGATGGTCGTCGGCGTGATGCTGGTGTACTTCATGCGCATCGCGCCGCGGCTCTGGGGTAGTACGGAGGAGGAGGTGGGCAGCTGGAGGGGGCTCGCGGTGGAGTTTCTGAGGGCGGGCGCGGAGAGGGATTTGGGGTGGCTGAGGGAGAGTTTGATTGGAATTGTTATGTGACTCCGGGGTCTGGCAAGATCTTGGTTTGGTGGATGGGGTTTGATGGTGTTATTGCTGGGCTTGTGTGTTAGTTTGCCGGGCTAGGACTACCCTATAGACACACGCAAGTTGAGTCATATACTTGGACATGGTACTTTTGTCGAGATATGATGTTGCAAAGAATTTGTGTCCCTTCCCGGGCTGGCCCGGCGCATGATTCTACTTGCAGAGCGTGCCTTTTCCAAGTTTGTTCTCGCCGGACTTGTCATTCCATACGAGACCCCCTCACGACGCAGAGACTTGCGCGTACGCCGTTGCACGGTTATGCTGTTTGCAGTTATGCTTGGAAAAGGAAGCCGTGCGAAAATAAGACACCCGCTATAGCGGCAAACAGCAGCAGCTCCTTGTATTACATTACGGGACAGCAGGGCGCGCGACGAGATATGAAACCCTAGTTCTAGTATAACTAGTTACACCAATAAATAGCGAAAGGGGGTGCAGGATTCTAATTCGCCATCCTGGGCCTGTATTTATCCTATAAAGTAGTGTACTATATGGGCTTAATGACCGACTACATAACACTTATAAGATGTCCATCTAGTATTACAAATACGTACGAGAAAGATACGCTCTTAAACTTTCGGCTTAGCCAAACTCTAAGATTATCTAGCTGCAATTGGCAATATTTTAAGCTTATACAGTACATAGTTAAAAGTTTGTTTGCAGTAATCAGCACAACCGACCAGAAATTACTAGATTTAGATAATCAGCTATTATGTAATGTAATGCATGAATAGGCCTATAACAAGAGTTGGTCTGGTAAATAGAAAGATAGAATACCCTTCTCTAGAACATTATAATAACTCTTTGAAAAGTATTTATTCTTACCTTATTCTCTCTTTCTATAATGTTACGGTCGGATAGGGCAACTAACTGTAGCACAAAGCAAAAGCTTTAGTAATAATACGCCTGAATTATTAATCCCTATTCCAGTCTATCTAGTTACTAGATCGTAACATATATATGCTAAGAGTAATTATTAGTTTCACCAGGTTAGTAATACGGTTAACTGTAGGTATTAATAGGCAGTAACAAATAATAGGGGTAAATACTAGTTCTGAATTATGCGTCTAAGGAAAAGAAACTATTGTGGGATTGCGCGGCGAATCTACCGCGTAATATCCCTATGAATCCAGTAGATCTACAGTAAATTAGCTGTAGTTATTCCAGCTGTTTAGCGTTAATCTATACTGCTAATATCTAGGCGATAGTTAATATTATAACACTAGTAACCTTCTAAAGTGCTATAAATTATCCTATTTTCTAGTTATTTATAAAGGGCTTAAAAACGTAATAAAAACAAAAGGCTAAAAAGTATTTAATACTTTTTTATATATATAACCTGTTATATATATAAAACCTATCTATTTATTTATATCTCTAATTAACTGCTATTAATTAACTACTCTAGCGCTTTATTAGGTAATACCTTTATAAATCTATCTGCTAGGTTATCCTCCTCTTATATCTATTAGATCTTATAGATCTTATGTTACTTATATAACTAGTAAAGCACTATAATATTAATTATAAGTTACTTCTCTTTAGTAGTACTAAGCTTTATAAGGTACTTATAGAGGGAGTATAAGTTAGTATAAAAGATTATTAGGATTTATAGTAACTTAAGGTAGTTAGTAATTATAATAAGTGTAATACTAATTATATAGGTAATATTAGCGCTAGTAACTATACTATAGACTTTAGAGGCTAGTATACTATATATAACTTTTTTACACTTTATTAAGCTAAAGTAGATAATATTACTAGTAAGTGTAAATTTCTTATTATTAGTAGTAGGTTATATAGTACTACTTTTATTAGTAAGTATAATAATAAAACTAAGTTATAATATAAAATTATAGTTATTTATAAATAAGCTATTAATAAATATAAAGAGCTTTATAGTTATAAGGTTAATTAGCTAAAAAAGCAGGCTGTAGTTAAGATAACTTATTTACTACTTAATCTAGCAGTTAAGAGCCTTAATCTCCTCCTTTATAGGCTTTTAGTGTTATATAGTAACTAAATAGTTAAAGTAAGCCTTAGGTTAGTAGATTAACGTAATATATACCCTATAGGCCCTTTACTAGATAAAATCTTACTTAGTAGTAAGTAAATTTATATTAACAGGCTAGAGCTTCTTACCTTAATCTTTTTAGTAAAAATTTATTTTACTATTATAGCTAAGGGAAAGCATACTACTATTAAAGGTAATAAAATTATTAATAGTTAATAGTTACTTAGGCTTTATAGTAAAAGTTACTTTCTTAAGCTCCTTCTCTTTATAGGTAGAGAATTTATTATCTATAAGGCTAATTATATTATCTATTTATATACTAATAAGGCTAAAATCCTTATTATTAGCTAATAAAATAAGTAGGTAGGGGTTAAAGGTTAATAAATCTATCTAAAGATTCTCTCTATAGTAGTAGTTATATATAGCCTACTAGTAGGTGCCTGCCTTAGTAATACTATAAAGTAGCTTTATTACCTTTATAATAGAGTTACTAGGGTAAAGATAGTAAATTTATATAGGAAGTCTTATAAGAATAACGTAGTTAAGTAGTGTTATAGATTAGGTATACGCCTAGGTAATATTATATAACTAGAGGTAAAATCTATATTATAAAAGTAATAAAGTAAGGGTAAGGATTAGTTACTAGGCTATTTATTAGATTATAAGTAACTATATAAGAATTATCTCCTTACTATTATTAGTATAACCTTAGATAACTAACTATAATTTCTTATATAGTTACTTATTTTTTCCTTTAACCTTATATACTATATATAACTTAAAGATCTATATATTATTATATATTTTCTTATTATAGGTAATAATATAAAATACACTATAGTTAATAAGGGCTTTTACCTCTACCTTATTAGATTCTTTAAAGGGCCTACTAGGCGTAGTAATAATACCTTTTTCTTATAGTTTAATAGTAAGTATATAGTTAGCTTCCTCCTTTATAGTAAGGTATATATTAAAGACATTAATAGTAAGGTATATCTTATAAAAGAAGTTAGTAATTAGGTTCTTCTACAGGCAGCTACAGCCTTATTATAGGGGCAGCCTGTTATTAATAATAATAGTATTACGTACTTCCTCTATAGATTTACTAGCTATTATAGGCTCTCCTTCTTATGCTTATATAGGATTATTACCTTCTTTAGCTGTTACAGGCAGTAGTGCCTATAAGCCTTCTTCTTACGCTATATAGTATAGCTTTACTATAGTAATATAAAAATTACATAGGCTATAAGGTAATTTAATAGTATAGGTAGTACTATTATTAGTAAGTAGGTAAAATAGGCCTTACTAGCTATCTTTCTTATACTATATATAAATAAGTAATTAAAGGAGTAGCGCTATAGTATTTATTATATTTAGGCTATTATATATTACTAGTATATTACGTACTTATCTCTTTATATAGATTTACTACATTATATTTATAGCCTTTTTTACTACTTTAGTGCGCTATGTAGTAGAAAGGGTAGGTAGTAAATTATTTATAATATAGGGGTATACCCTAAAAATAAGTAGAGTTAGTATAAGGCTATTAGGGCTAGTGGTATTATTAATAGCTTTAATAGCTAATTAAAGGGTAACTTTAGGCTTATAATTACTATCTATATAGATAATCTTATATATATAGTAAAGGGTAGTATAGTATTACTTAACCTTACTAATAGATTAATAGGCCTTAATAAGCACTTTATTAACCTTAATAGATAACATATAGGCAGCGTGTTTAAATTTAGCTATATAAAAATTTAGGCTAGTGTTAGTAGTAATCTAATTAGGTAGGCTAAGGTATATATTAATTTAATATATCTATAGTGCCTCCTAAGTGTATTCTATAGTAATTAAATATAAGAATCTTACTATATTAAACGCTATAGCTAAGTTAACTATATAAAGTATAGGCTTATTACTTTCTAAATATATTATGTTAATAATAATTTTATAGTTAAATTTATAGTTATTATGTAGTGTAAACTTAAAGTAACTAGGCGCCTTTACGTTAAGTTAGTAGTAATAGTAGTATTTATTAATCTCTTTAAGCGCAGTAAGGGAGGTTAATTTACCTGCTTGTTTAAGTAGCTTATAAAGGTAATTTACTAATAGGTAACTAAATTAGTAGTAAATTTAGCGTAATTTACTATCTATAAGGTGCTGCTCTGTAATAGTACTTTTAGGTAGTTCTAAAAGTATCTATATATAGCCTTATTTTTAGGTAATAGGTATAATAATCTTGTCCTTAATAAGCTAGTTAGTAAGGTTATTAAATTTTACGCTATAGTAATCTATATCCTATAGGTAAAAAAGAAATAGTATATTACTTATTATTATATAAAAAACTAGATTACTAATTAGTATAGGTATATAGATTACACTAAGGGATTTATAGTAATCCCTACTACTAAAGTAAATTATTACTTTACTAGTATAGGTAGTATCTAATAGGATCCTCTTACTAAGGTGTTTCTTAAGTATAAGGTACTATTATTAGCTAGCTATAGATACTTTAGCTACGCTAGTGTTAGGTATAATACCTTAAAATGTTAACGTAGAGTAGTAGTTATTAAATATAAAAATATTACTACTTTTTATAGTTAGATTAAGTAGTGCCTCTTTATATAGATTTTTATAGGTAATAGTATAAAAAGTTACCTAGTTATATAACTTTTTATAAGTAGATAGGCTGTTAATTAACTACTTACTAAAGTATATAGTAGATATAAAAAACGTAGTAGATTTATAGTTTTTACTATCTAATAGGTAAGTTTTACTATCTTTACTTACTTTTTTAAAATAAATTAGCTTATTACCTTTATAGTTAATAAGAAAGTAACTAAAGGTAGCCTATAAAGCCTATGTAAAGTAGGTGCTTTTATACTATATAAAGGAGGCTTATTATTCTTCCTTAGTGTACTTAGTTAACTAATAGCCTAATTTACTATAAATAAAGCACTTCTTAGATAAATTACTATTAGGTAGTGCTTTACTACTAGCTAACTATAAAGGGCCTTATAAATAGCCTTACTGTCTCTAGGGGTCTGCCTTATAGTTACGCTAGCTGTTATACTTATAGTTAACTTAGTATTAGTTATTACTATAATTATTATTAATAAAGTATTATAACTATAGCTTATAGTAGAGAAGTAAATTTACTATACTACTATATAATTATATATAAAGGCTACTAAAGGTAGTAGGTAGATTAAGGATAGTAATAAAGTATTTAGGCACGCTATAGCAGTAAGTAAGTAATTACTTATAATAATCTTTATTATATAAGGTGCTATTATAGGTAGTTATTTATACTAACTAGGTAATTTATATAATAAGTGCCTTAAGTACTTTAAGCTTGCTTTTACTAGCGTTTTCCTTAGTAATTAAATTAAAAGAGGTATAGTAAAGCTTAGCTAGGTGTAAAAGGTGTACTTTATTACCTTTAAAGCGTTATTTAAGCTTTACTATTATTACGTTAAAATTATTAGAATAACTAAGTAATAAGGTAGTATAATACTTATATAGCTCCCCTTTAAGTATTACTATTACTACTACACTATAGTGGTTTTATAGTATGCCTATATAGACGTAAAGGTTATAAAAAAACAGTAACTTTAAGTTAATAGTTTTATATAGGCTACTACTATATATTAAACCTAGGTTATTTATATAGAACTTTATTAAGTCTGTTAATTACCTTAGCGTTAGGCTACTTTACTTACTTATTATAGTAGTAGTTACGCTAGGCGTTACTATAGTTAAAAAACGCAGCTAGACTTAGGCTTTATATATTATTACTATTATCTAGGGTTTCTATAGTAATAAGGCTAGAGGAGGTGTAAATAATAGATTATTATATAAGGTTACCTTAGTAATTACTAGTAATTTATAAGTAACTACCTACTTAGTTACTTTAGCTATAAGTATAGCCTTAACAGGTAACACTACTATATTAGTAATATCTTTATAAAAATTAGTATTTATTAGCTACTTCTTAAACCCTTTAGTTTTATAAGTAATAGTAGCTATTATCTCCTTATTCTATATAACTTACTTATTATTATAAGTAGCCTTATAAAGTTATAACATAACTATTAAATTCTTTAATTAGTTAATTTATACTTCTTAACTAGTAAGGTAGTTATATAACTCCTTAGTTACTTTATATAGTAACGCTATAAAGTCCTTAGTTAACTAATCTTTAAAGTTAAATTACACTTTCTCTTAGAGGATACTATATAAGTAGTTATAGTATTTATACTTAGAGATATAGAACGTAGTAATAGTAGTAAGCGTATTCTTTCTCTTAGTAGCTATAAGATCTTATAGTAACTTAGTAATATAGTCCTTCTGCTATTAGTTAGTAAGGATAAACTCTTCTAGCCCTTCTAGCACTTAGTATTTACTTATAATTACCTCTACTTACTTAGCTGTATTAAGCAGTAGTATATACTTAGGGTAAATTACCCTAGGCTGCCTAGTAGCGTTATTACCTTACACGTTACTTACGCCTTCTTTACCTTAGTAGCTTATCTTAGTTACTTACTTATAATTACCCTCTATTAGCCTAACTACTTTTTAGTTATAGGCGTTTCTCTTAACTACTGTTAAAGGGTGTATATATCTGTTAGGGGATTTACTACTAGTAGTATAAGTAATTATAAAGACTTATAGTTAAATAAAAACTTAAAAAGGGAAGGCTTATAATAGGCTTATAGATAATAAAAGCTATTACGTTAGTAACGTAAAATAACTTAAAGAAAAAAAATAAGAAAAAATATTTAAAAAGAAAAAGTTAGTAAGCTTTATAGGCTTATAATAAAAAAAAAGTAAAAAGTAAATAGTTACTAATTAATAATAGGTTAGTATATAAAGTAAGGTGTTTTTTATAGTTAAGAGTGCCTTTTATAAAGTAATAAGGCTTATATATATAGACGTAAATTACTAGGCCTTTACTAACTACAGGAGGTTAGGTATTATTATCTTAGTAATTAACTTATAAGGGCGTGTAGCATAACAGCGTTATAAGGGTATTTATAGTAACGTTTTTTAGTAGGGCCTACTCTAGGCCTCTATAAGTAGTTAATAACGTTATTACCTTTTCTTATAATACCTTACTAATCTATAGTATTTTTAGTAGTAGTTATAGTAAAGTTAACTACTAATTAGTGTTAGTTTTACTAGGTTAGTAATATAGTTAACTATACGTATTAATAGGCAGTAATAAATAATAGGGGTAAATACTAGTTCTAAATTATACGTCTAAGGAAAAGAAACTATTGTAGGATTGCGCGGCGAATCCACTGCGTAATATCCCTATGAATCCGGTGGATCCACGGCGAATCGGCCGTAGTTATTCCGGCTGTTTGGCGTTAATCCATACCGCTGATATCTAGGCGATAGTTAACATCGCAACAGTAATAGATTATATTAAGTTATCTCTATAGAAACTATAATCTTAAGATCCTTAGTATAAATAGTAATAATAACATTCTTTTTATAAAACTTTTTATAATTGTATTATTATACCTATACTACTCTATTTAGAAAGCTCTCTTACAGGACTGGCAGCCGGGCTGCTCTAGTGGTGGTTGCACTGCGGCCGTGCCCTCCTGCGTACATACTACTGCGGCATGTAGGCAAAAGGATATAGAATTCTAAGACTAGAAAGTCTTAAAACAACCACACTTGATAAGCAGGTGCCTATCCGGCCACCTGATATAGGCCGTGACAAATAAATATATAATAATAGTTTTACTTTGCTGTTAATGTTAAGGAGAATAATAAGTTACTAAACGGATATTAGATGATAGCTCTTAATTATAGTTTTAATTGCTACTTATTTCTAGACTAAATTGATATTATTACGAAGTCATATTGAGGAGGAAGAAACTGATGAAGATGAGTACTCCCATAGAGTAATACTGTTGTGATGGGTTGCGTGAATTAATCACATCATTGATACCTACAGCAGCGAATAAGAGGGATGATATTAGTGGGGTTGTCTTAACGCTGTAAACAGACTTTTGACTATGCACTGTCATTACTTCCTATCTCCTTGAGTGCGAATGGATCTCACACAACCCAAACATGGGTCTCTGTAAATAATCACTAACAGCTATTGGACAGTTAGCCTGGATTGTTGTAGTCTTATTGGTCTGAGGTTGTGTGAGGTCCATTCGCACTCAATGAGATAGTCGCTTTTCCAACGGTCCATTATTTACCACGCAGCAACTTCCTGGTGTTAATGTCGGAACCAGTGTTCCATTCTAACACGACCTACGGGGCAAAGGTGTATTATCCCTAGAAGCTTTGGGTCTTCTCGACTTTGCCAATTTCCCGCACCACGTCTCTGCACATTCCTTCGTGCACGATGGGTCATGACCCTTGTCGTGGTGTGCATCACAATGTCATTTCCTACAATCCTTCCCTATTGTCTATTTAACAAAACTCTATCCCACGCCCTACCATCTCCCCTTCATCCCGTCGTTTTCTTTTCCTATCGCCTCTTGACTTGCCCCTGTCCACACCTCCGGGCCACATCAGCGATGACGCGGCAGGTCCCTGTAGGTGCTTCTCTGGAGCCCCCGACCCTGAAGATATTCGATAACTCGACGGACTCCCCGGGATATACGGAGCCGAGCTCGATGGAACCAAAAGAGTCAGTCGCTACAGCGCCAGCAAAAGGGCTCCGCTTCTGGGCCATCATCATCGCCCTGGCTGCCAGCAAACTTATGCTGGCCCTCGAAACCACCATTGTGACTACTGCCCTGCCGACCATTGTGTACGCCCTCGATATGGGGTCGAGCTATATGTGGGTTTCCAGCGGGGCTGCGCTAGCAAGGTCCGTCTCTTTCTCTTTCTCTCTCTCTCTCTCTCTCTCTCGCGCGCGCTCCTTACCCTTTCTTTACTGTCCCTTTGACTGACGCCCCCCCTCCCCTGCACAGCGCAGCAATGACCCCACCTCTAGGCCAGCTATCCGACCTCTTTGGCCGCCGCTACCCCACTTGCCTATGCGTGCTCCTCTTTATCACCGGCGGGATAATCTCCGGCGCGGCAACCTCCGGCTCGCAGCTTATCGCCGGACGCCTAGTCCAAGGCCTCGGCTCAGGCGGCGTTAATGTCATGTCGGCCATCGTGGTTTCCGACCTCGTCCCAGTCCGGCATCGGGGCAAGTACACTGCCGTCATGCTGGCCGCTTATCTGCTGGGCGCTGCGAGCGGCCCGTTGCTTGGGGGCGTGCTGGCCCAGTCCGGCGCTTGGAGGTGGGTGTTTTGGCTGCCCGTGCCGGTTGGGCTGGTGAGCTTTGTGGTCTTGGCTGTTTGTCTGAACGGTAGGGTCGGGGACACGAACTCGAGCCGCCGCGAGCGCTTCCGGTCCGTGGATTATGGCGGTAACGCCGTGCTGACGGCCGCGACCGGCGCCATCTCGTACGCTGTCACCTACGGCGGATCCGAATACCCCTGGCATGATGCCCGGATCGTCGCGGCGGTCGCCGCCGGGGTGCTGGGACTGGGACTTTTTTTGCTCCTGGAGCGACATCTCGCGCGCAGTAACACGGTCAAGCCGGTCATGCCTCTCCGCCTGCTAACCCACCGAGTAGGGGCTACCGTGGCGGCCGGGGGGTTCGTCAGCAGCCTGCTTAGCAACTGGGCCAGCTTTCTGCTGCCGACCTACTTCCAGGGCGTGCGCATGTTGACGCCATCCCGGGCCGGCGTGCTCATGCTGCCCATGGTTGCCGTCGCCGTCCCTGCAAGCATTGCCTCCGTCATCTTGGTTAGTAAGATCGGGCGGTACAAGATGCTTCACGTGTCCGGATTCGCGGGGTTGTGCATCGCGTGCGGGCTGTTTAGCATTCTGGATGAAGCTTCGGGAGACGCAGAGTGTATAGCGATGAATGTTCTGTTCTCGCTCGCGCTGGGCATGGTGATTAATACGTTATTACCGGCCTTTCAAGGCGCGGTGGCGGAGAGCGACCAGGCGGTCGCCACGAGTACCTTCACATTCGTGCAGAGCCTGGCGAATATCTGGGGTGTGACGATCCCGGCCGCCATATTCAATAGCAGGTTTGAAGCCCTTGCGCATAGGGTATCGGACGAGCAGGTCAGGGCGCAGTTGGGCGGCGGGAGGGCGTATGGGTTCGCGACACGGTCGTTCTTGGAAGGTCTGCAAGGCACGGCGAGGGGTGAGGTTGTGCAAGTGTTTGGGAAAGTGGTTAGCTGCGTTTGGTATGCCGCGTCCGGCGTCGCTGGTGTTGCGGCCTTGTTGGCGTGTGGGGAGGGGGAGGTTGTCTTGAGAGACAAGTTGGAGACGGAGTTTGGGCTGGAGAACCGTGGTGAGGTTGATGTTCATAAATCAGCCTCCAAGTAGCCAGCGTGTTTAGTCAGAGTAACGAAGGATACCAAACACCGCGTAAATACATGTAATCTCCCGGCCAATTCGACACATCATCATCGATATAATTACACCATTCCACTATGAGCTACCTATCCTCCAGCGGAATTCTCTCCCCTTCCCCTCTCAGCAAGCCCCAGTTGTTTGACGTCCGCCTCTCTAGCACCCAATCCGTCAGCGCATCCCAGTCCTTGCACTGGTGCTCATACCCCCAGCCCGTCTCGACCTTTTCGTTCCACCGATGCCACTCCAGCGTCACATCCGCCGCGCACATGATGTTCTGCCGCAGGTAGTCCCAGCAGTGGTTCAGGTGCTCCTTGTTCCAACCCGGATCGGTGGGGAGCTCGCGGCTCTGGTGCGGGTTGTTGATGCGGTCAAGGACGTCGTAGTAGCTGCGCATTGTGCTGTACTGCTTGTCTGTCAGCGGTTTTGATCTCGGGATGATGGCAGGGCGGAAGCACGGGTGCTCCCTGGAATGCGTACGAGGCAGTGCAACTGATGATATACCGACGGCAGCGCGATGTGCTCGGGCAGCGACTGGTTCAGGCCCGGCATGTCGGGGAGGGCTGTCTTGTTGCGCATGTGCACCCAGCCGCGGCCCTCTGTTTTCTTTCCGTTAGACAACAACCTTACATTCCTTTTCATGTCTCCAAGGCAAGGGTGTGCACTCAACAACACTGACTTGGCAAAAGTGAGTTCCACGCAGCGATGCTCTCATTATTCGGCTCCTGCCCGAACACCGGCTCGCTCCTGAAGATTTTCTTCACGGGAACTGTTTCATTCTGTTACCATCACATCACAATACTACACAAAAACAACTTGATCAAAGCAAATGCGCAACCTACTTTGCGGAGGGAACCAATCCGGCTGTGACGGATACACCACCGTGGTCGGCACGGGCTGTGGTGTCAGCACGGCATAGAACAGCGCACACAAAGTGGCGATGTTGGAGAGCGCCAGAAATATCAGAGCCCAGCGAATGCGTGGTGACGCGCCGGCTAGATGGCTGGATGTGACGCCGTCGAGCAGGCCGAATTTCTCGTCGTAGTCAGAGGATGAGCGCGCGGTGTTGTCCTCGCGGGAGGGCATTACTGAAGACTTTGGCATTGTGGATATGGGAATGTAGGATGATGAAGGACAGGAGATGGCGGGGGGCTACAGCAGGTTGCGCAGCAGATTCTTGGAGTAGTGATCAGTGGCGGAGACTTGGGGAGAGGCTGAGTCGGGAGAATTCGCCGCGAGCATGAGCGGTGTCTCCTCCTGCTCAGCGTTCCAGAGTCCCGATCGCCATGACTCGGAGGTCTGTGGGTATCGTCGAGATGAGTAACATCTAGGAGCTGTGGGGTCACTCTCGTGAATCCCTTGTGGAGGAGGAGAAGGGGGGGTGCTAACCACCGTTCAAGGAATAAAGGCCCATGAAGTTCCTGCAGCAGTAAGGTCCCGCAGCCATTGGGTGTGCGTGATGGGAGTCTGGTGTTTGGCGGTGTGCACTCGCTCCACTTAGGAGGGAAATCTCGTTTGCAGGTAATATCCCTTTTCAGATAGAAAAACCATCTAATCATGCACGCGTTCACCGGTAGAGGTGCGTGTTTTTCCAATATTTGTCTAGAGCGTTTGGCGAAGGGATATTGGCAAGACACCCCCCGGGGCTATTGTATCTGAGATACGGAGTATACATGACCCAGTAGCGAGCGTATCTACTTACCACGAAATATGCGTATATCTGACATCAATGCATTAATGCAATTACGCCTAGGTACGCTGCCAACTGACGTCGCAAATCCGCAAATCCCACGCTCAGTGACCAATATGCTCATTTTGCTTCCTAGCAAACTCCTCCAAGAACCGCTCTGCATCATCCTTCCCCGTTCCGATGCCCTGCTCTCTCGCCCATTGCTGGTAATCCGCCCTCTGCGAGAACTCCTCAAAGTCCACCACTCCCTCGGCGTTCGCGAGGATGAACCTGCCGTGCTCATCGGCAAAGTGACCTGTTTGTGTCAGCTGTGTTCTTCAACACCAAGTACAGACCTGGGTCTGTTTTTTACCGTATATGGGGTGCTTCATTTTTGAAACTGACGGCATGGTCTCAGAGTGCGTCATGGAATGCTCATTCCCCCAGCTCATCAAGCTCTCCCAATCCACGCAGGACCGCTGCACGCCGTCCCATTTCAGGACTGGGACGTGGTCGTCCACTGTCCAGTGCAGGAGTACCGGTGTCATGTCGGCTTGGCACTTGGCCGAGGACAGGAGGTGGTGAAGGCAGTGTGCTTTGGCAATGGTTAGCATCCTCAACAACTGTTAATTAACAAAAAGCATACCAAGGTGGCTCTTTTGTTTACTCTGCTGCTTCTCGGTGATGTTTGGGAAGTAGTAGTCCACGTGCATGGTCTGGTAGATATAGTTCTGCCAAGCGGGATATTAGCACACAACGTAGGAGATGAGAGAGTTGACGTACGATACAGTGCAGATTGTGCACCACGGCGATGCCGCCGACGCTGGGCAGGTCAGTCTATTTTCTTTAATTTCTCTGCATCATCAACGTGCGTAGACTTACAAGCCGCCCTTGCCGTCATCGAAAGGTATGGCGTCCGAGCTGGGACCTAGCCTCTGTGATTCGGAATCGGGGAGTCGGCTCGAGAACGCTGTGCATCAAGTCAATGTGTGTAACCTGCAGAGAGGGAAGGTGGAAGAGTCAACTCAATAGCAGCTTGCGCCAGTTCGCGTCGAGCTCGGCGCTTGGGCTGCCGAGGAAGGAGTCGGAGTGGTGTGGCGTGGCTGGGTTGAAGGACATGGGTTTGTACCCGATTTTGTCCTATTACTTTCTGTCAGAGACACCATCAAAGATGTCGAAGATATCAGAAGCCAACTTACCCACAAGTGAACCGTATCATTTGCCGCAAATCGTGGACAGTAGGGCTTGTGAATGAACTCCTGCGCATAATACAGCACCGCCGCCGTGTAGGCACCTAGCCCCAGGGCCACAGCCAAGACCTCTAAAACACAAATGAAAAGAGATTTTTTCTTTAGCGGGACACATTCTTCCCGGTTGGCCAGAGAGACATTGTCCAGATCGTCGTCCCGGGACGTCGAAAGTCGGTGATACTCGGTTGAAGGCATTGTTTGCAGTGGCAGTCGTTAGCACAGCGGGAATAAGAAGAGGGTACAGGTCTGATCTGAAATGCACCTGACGACGAACTTTTGGCAAACAGTTGGAAAAGCTGGAGGGGGTGGTGCTGGCGTGAAATGACTATGTTCGCTCCCATTGTGGACTCGGATCAAACCCTGTCAAAGTGACAGAATCCATGCATGCTTCTATGCGAGTCATGGACATAGCCCATCCAGAATGGTCTGACTGTACTAAACAGGCCAACCTCTCATTTCCACCTTGTCCTAGCTCTGTAAGACTTATTAGGATAGCATTAGGCCCGCAAGCCTGTGGTGGTCCCATCTACTCTTTAGTACGGATAAGACACTTTTTTCCGCTCACTCATATATGCATATTCCGCTGCTTACTCTAGCTAATGCTTTATATAAATATCCAACAGTCATAATGAGTGTTAAAGACATCTCACATCTGAGCAGCCGCTGCGGTGTAAGCCAACCACTACGGCAACTGTACCTCTGCATCTGTCACTGAGAAATCGAGGGAGAAAAGCAGTTCAAGACAGGTTCTGTATAGTTGTAATCCCCCCCTTGCTCCGAGACGGCCCATTTACCAGTGTCAGCCCCAGCAATGGCCTCGCCTGTAGAAGAGCCATGCTTTTCACCAACAGAAAGCCCTCCCTGCGAAGAACATGGACAACTCTTGTTCGAGCCCGAAGAGCCTTACGAACTGAATCCGCCCGAACGACTATCCACACCCGGCCTACTCCTCCTAACATGTCCGAGCCTCGGGCTCCAAGTCTGCTGGTTCCTACTGCAGTCCAGCGGCACGGTCCGTCACCCATTTCTCCCGATCGTCACAGTCACTAACAACAGACCAGCCCTACCTCCACTCCCTAGGCATGACCTCCTCCTCCATATCCCTAGCCTGGGCACTAGGCCCCATCTTCGGGGCTTTCGTCCAGCCCATAATCGGTCAGCTGAGTGACGAGCTTCATCACCCGCGCGGCCGCCGGAAACCCGCTATCATCGCCGGTGCGCTTATTACTGTCATCTTCGCCCTGATTATGGCTTGCGCCTCCGAGCTCACCACGCCCTTCACCAAAGCCCAGGCCGTAAACCCCTGGCAGCCGCGTGCGCTAGCCGTCGCCTGCCTGGTGGTTATTCTATTGGCGTTAACCGCCTACTCCGTCGGCGTGCGCGCCATCGTCGTCGACACTTGCCCGCCGTCTCAACAACCTGCCGCTGCCGCCTGGTCCATGCGCTGGAACGTTCTTGGATCCACCGTGCTTTCTATCGCGGGCTTCGTTTTCACCACACAGCCCCCAGGGACAGACCCCGTGGTCGCGTTCCGCACGCTGGTGTGCGTCGCAGCTATCTGCTCCGCCGCCACCGTCGGACTGGTATGCTGGTTCGTGCCGCGGGATGCCACGCCGCCTCCCCGACACTTCGGGTCTGGCATCTGGCGAGTCTGCGCCATGTGTCTGCCGGGTGAACTGGCGCGGCGGTGGGGGCGGCTGCCGCCGTTGACGGGGAGGGTGTGCAGCGTGCAGTTTGTTGCATGGTTCGGGTGGTTTCCGGTGTTGTATTATATGTCTACGTAGGTGATGCCCACCCTGGCTTGCTCGCATCTCTGTAGATGAACTAACAAGACCTTTAGGTATGCTTACGAAACAGGTCATTACCCAATGCCACCTCTATATACCCCGTTCCGATCTAAACTAACGTTTCCCAGCACTATTTGAACTCCTTGAAACCCCCAGCCTCGAAGCCTCTTCCCCAGAAGCCAGCGCAAAACCCTATCCTCTATACGCATCCCTCTCTTTTTCCATAGGAACCCTCTCGTCCACTCTCGTCCTGACCCTCCTCTCCCAAACCTCCGCCATCCTCCGCACCCGTAACCTCCCGCGCCTCTGGTTGCTGTCCCAACTGCTCGCAACTACCTCCCTCCTCCTCACAATCCCCTTCCAAACCTCCACGGCATCCCTCATCCTCATCTCCTTCATCGGCGTGACCCAAGCTGTGACGATGTGGGTCCCGTTCGCACTGGTCAATACCGAACTTGCTGAGGTGCGAACCGGCGTGGCAGGCGTCCAGGGGCTGCACAATATGGCCATTTCGCTTCCGCAAGTTGCCAGCGCGCTGATTTGCGCGGTATTGCTGGCGGGGTTGGACTTGCTTGGGGTTGAGCGGGATGCGGTATGGTTGCTAAGGCTGGCAGCGGCGCCGTTTGCGTGGTCGGCGTGGTTGATTTGGCGGCTAGGTAGGGCCCTAGAGTGAGGGTTAGCTAGGTCTTTAGTAGATTTATAGGTTATTGTTGGTTATCACAAGAAGGGATATCCCAAGTCATATATAATGTAAGTAGGATTGTACCGTAGTTGTTGCTGGTTTTTCTATACTTTTAGGCACCTACTTGTGGCATCCCCTTGTTACTATCCCTTAGGCTGCAAGGTGACCCAGCCTAACTACCTTAATAGACTATTATAAAGAAAAGTATAAAGATATTATCTTTTTAAGTAATCTAGTTAACTTATAAAAAAGTAAACTTATTAGTATATATATTTAAATACTAAAGTAGTTTTAAGATATATATTATACTATTAGTAGTAAAACTAAAGTAAATTTAACTTTATAAGATATTCTAGCCTTTAGTATTTTTCTTGATAATAAGTATAGTATTAATACTACTTTTCCTTTAGAATGTTTTAAAAGCTTTAACTTACTAGCTTTAAAAGGCTTAAGAAAGACTAATAAAAATAAAAAAGTTATTTAAAAATACATAATATATTATACCTAGTAAGAAGGTAAAAAGGGCTATAACTACTTACTATATTAGTAATAGCTAAGCTATCTTCAATAGTCTAGCTAGATTTAAAGCTTTAGTAAGTAGCCTATATAGGCCTTCTTTATATATATACTAAAGCTACTAAAAGAAGTATGTAGATTAAGTAAAGACTTATATCTTAAAGCTAGTTAAGATTAGTTTTATTAAAATAGTTATTATCTTTTAGCTTTAGCTAGTAAATTAAACTATTACCTTATTAATAATAAGATTAAAGCTAGCTATATAAAAGAAGTCTTTAGTTACTTGAATATAAGCTAGCTATTAGTTAACCTTTTAGTATATAATTAGTATTTAGGCCTTACTTTAGCATAATAGCCCTTAGGTAAAGATCTTAAAAGATTAAATATCTAAAGCTAAGTATAAAGCTATTAGAAGTAGTCTTAAGTTAGAAAGTATATAAATAGGTATAATAAGTTTTTACTATACTACTAAGTTACTAATCTCTTAATACTTAAGGTTTAAAGTATATATATATATAAATTAAAATACTTTTAAAGAGATATATCTTATAAGTATAGGTATTAATACGTAATACTATAGGTATTTAGATAGACTATATACTAAGCTACACTTAGGCTATAGATTACGCTACACTCTAGCCTAAGCGTGCGCTATTACGTTATTTATACCTTAGGCAAAATAATAGCTATACTATAGGCTACTATATAGCTAACACTAAGGCTAAAACTATAGCCTAGTATATAGCCTAGAAATAGCTATAAGTATAAATAAGTGTTAAGATATATTAATTATATATATATATAGCTATAGATAAAGTTCTTCTAGTTTAGAAAAGGTATTTAATTTTTACTATACTAATTTATACTTAAAATTTTACTTCTAGTAAACTACTTATTATAAGTATATTATATAGTAGTATAACCTAAAGATTATAACCTTTATTATTTCTCTTAACCTAAGGAACACATCTTAATATAAAGTAATCTTTTTAATATAGAGAATCTTCTTAACCTAAAGATAGGTCCCTAACTAAGACTAAAGTTCTTAATATAAACTTAGAGTTATTAACCTAAACTTATAGAATTATAGAAGCTAAAGTAAGCGCTTAAGAACGTAAGCTTTATGTAATAGCACGCTAGCTTCTACTTATCCCTTAGCTATAATGACTTCTAAAGCTAATAGACTTAGTATATATTTAATAAAAACCTACCTCTAGACTACTAAGGAGACAAATAGTTCTTTCTAGAATAATACTATTAAATAAAAATATAATATATATATATCTACTTAGTTATTTAACTATATTTACTAGACTTATACCTAGGATTACTAGCCTATAAGACCTAAGCTATAAAGTAACACTATAGTATAAAGCTAGCCTTAAACTATAATAAAACTATTAGTCTAGCCTTATATAGTTATATATACTAAAATCTACTTCTACAGCTTTATAGTAGCTACTTTATTTACTAGATATATAGACTTAAGAGTATAAAAATACGTTATTATATAAAGCCTACTTAAAACCTTTCCTAAGTATATATAAGACAAGATAGTTAAAGCCTTTCTTAAAGGAATAAGGAACTAAGATACTTCTAAATAAGTAACCTTTTTACTACTAGCTTATAGTAAAGTTAATAATAAATAAACTACTACTAAGCTTTATATAGAGGCTTAAGTAGTAAAGTATGTTAATACTAGCCTACTTATAGGCTAAGAATTTAATATACTAAATAGTATAGATATACTAAACTCTAAAGGGCTTATTACTATTAAATCTTATAATAATATTTATATACTAACTATTATTTACTTTAAATAGCTAACTTATTTATATATAGTAAGGGCTACTATAAACATAACTATTCCTCTACATACAGTAGTTTCTATTTATATAAAGGTTACTAAGGGTTTAAATTATATTCCCTTTAGTTTAGGCCTATATAAAAGGGACTAATATTAGCTATTATAAGCTATTAACTACTTATTATAGTAAAAGCGTATAGCGTATAAGGGACTCTTACAGTACAGTAACTATATAAAACACTATAACTACTAAAAGTAACATAAGATTCCTTACTAATTAGTATATAAATTATATTAATCTATCTAGAATTAACGTTAATTATAAGTATTAAACTATAAGATTAAGTATAATTATACCTTAATTAGGTAAGTAATTACTCCTAATTATCTTATATTATTATAATTAAAAGTAAATTATAAAGAGGCTCTAGTTTAATTAGAAAGTAGGTATAAGTATAAAAAATAAATTATATATATATATCTTTAAATCTATTAATACTAGCTTATATCCTTATACTTAATTAGGATTAAGATCTTCTAATTAGCCTATATACTATCTTACTTTAGGCTAATTACCCTACCTTACTCTAATTACCCCCTAATTTCTTCTTTATAAGTCCTCTTAAGGAGAAATTATTTTTAAGATTAGCCCTTATATAACTACCTTTATAGTAAATTAGCGTTAGCCCTTCTTCTTGTTCTTCTTCCTAGCCTCTACCTCCTGCTTATACACCTTCTTTATGTAATCCTATTAAAGCCCTATGTCCTTATAATCCTAACCCTCTTAATCCTAGCTTAATAACAGTAGTACTTAGGGCGTATATATAAGGGTTATATAAGCTAACTTATTAATTAGGTTATTATATTAATTAACTTACTTTTTTTATATATACTTACTAATTACTAGTTTCTTAAAAAGCTTATTTTAGTAGTATAGTAGTTAATAATAGTAATTTATAGCCTCTTATTAAAGTAACTTATTAGCTTTTTACTAATTAAGCTCTAACTTACTAAGTATTAACTTATAATTTACTTATCCTAACTATAAGTTTAGATCTTAAGAAGTTATCTCTTTTAGCTATAAGTTTTTACTTTACTTAATTAATAGGGGTTTCTAAAGTAGTTAAGCCTAAGTTAGAGGGTTTTTCTCTATAACGTCTTTAATCTTAAGTAAAACCTAAGCTAGAGGCCTAGTTCTAGTAACTAATAATAAAGTTAGCCTAAATAAGATAGAAGGTAAATATAGGTTTATAAGTAAACGTATAAGTCTCTCTAATTATAGCGTTACGTTAAGCGTCTAGGGGATTAGTTATAAGGTAACTAGTAATATTTAACTAAAAGGCGTAGGACTTATAGGAGTGTACTTAGAATTAGACCCTCTTTTAATAGTGTTTATTACTAAGGTAGACTAATTAAGTAGGTTTTAAGGCATAAAGCCTAGTAATAGTCTAAGTAGTAAGCGCTATCTCTAGCTAGTAACTAATTAATAATAATATAAGCTAAAGATCTATAGATTAGTTAGTATACTTTATTTAATTAACACTATAAAGCCTAGCCTTAAATATAGCTTCTTAATAATTATATAGTCTAATTTAGTACTTACTAATACCTTTATATAAATATTTCTATATTAACTATAAATATCCTTAAGATATATTCCTAAAGTATTATATATAGTATTATTAACTTAGTTACTTTTATAGTAAAACTTATAGCTAATCTACTAAATCTAGTATATATATATTTAATTACCTAGTATACCTTTTATATTATTACTTTAGAAAATAAGATTCTTAGTTAGGTATAATTTACTATACTAGACTACTATTTAGAACTACTTTAAAACGTAAAGACTATACTTCTATAAGCTAGGCTATTAGGCTATATTAATAACATAAGCACTAGTGTTAATTAAATTCTTAATATATAGTAAGGCCCCTATATCTTAGTAAAATCTTTAGAGCACTAAGATATTATTAAGAAAGATTACCTTAAATTAGCCTACCTCCTAAAGAGGGTTATACTAATAAACTATACTATCCTATTAGTTAATAATTATTTTTATAAAGTGTTTAGGATAATTAATAAATAGTAGAAAAAGGACTAGGTATATAGAAGTCCTAATTACTTTATAGGTAGTAGGTAACTAAGGAACTAAGACTAAGGTAACGTTTAGATTAGTAGAATATTCCTAGCTAATTAGAACTACTATAGTATTATAGACTAGTAATAAGTCCTAAGTTATAACCTCTAACGCTATAGTAATTTTATCTCTCCTTATTTAATCTTTTTAAAGTAGTTAACTCTATAGGTTATAGTAATTAAAGAGAATAGCTTTTACTTTCTAATAGCTTTAGCCTTACTATTCTTACTAGCTGTCCTAGATTATAAAGGCTACTAGTTACTATTATAAAAACTAATTTATATCCTCCTAAAGAAGCTAGTTAGAAAAATATATATTAAGTTTAGTTAGAATAAAGTATATAAAACTATCTTAAATAGGTATAACTTATAAGTATACCTAAGTCTAGTAGCTAAAGTAGTTATTTACACTAGGATTAATAAATTAGGAGTTTTAAGCTTCTTT